AATTTCCTATGGCTTGTTCACACTTCTTAGCAGTGCAGAGCTTGGCTTTGAGATAATGACCTTTGATTCAGATACCGCTTCGGAAAATTTTTTCTCAAGGTATTTGTCCTCGTAAACTGTGCTTTAAAGTTTCAAAAGGCCTGTGTGTTCTTGGGATGCTTTAGTACTCACACCCAAAAGTATACAATCCAGAAGACAGATAAGGCAGATGATTGATGGAACATCACTTTGAATTTTGATGACATAGTAGTTCCTGTTCTTGTAAGGACAGGAAGTTCTTTATTTTGTGACATTATTAATATTATTATTATTATTGAGGGTTTTTTGTATGTGTGTATTAGCTTGTTGTAAAATGCTTCAGACAAAGTATTGAAAAGAGGGTTTTAAATTTATAAGGAAGGTGATTTTTGAAGGCTGACAAACACATTTCACAAGCTTAGGAGGATAAATTACTTTTTTTTTTATCTTTTTGTGCTATGCTCATGTAGGCTATATAACATAGGACAGCTTCCCTCATGTGATCTGTCCCACTGGATGCTTTCATTCAAGTGTTTCATTCACCTTGCTTCCACTTCTAAGCTTTCCTACTTTTGTATGGTCAAATTTCATTTGTGCACCTCTGTAGCATAGCTTGCTAAGACTGAGTGTTGGAGGATATGTTCACTGCCTGCTCTTCATGTGTAATGAAGACTATGTCTGTTCGGGTCTTTCTGGGAAAGTTTTCCTCATCCCTCTAGGAGGAAAGAATGTCTTTCATTTGAATGCTTTAGATAACATATTCTGAGGGACTGAGATAAGACTTTTCTTACTGGAGCTAATAGTTTCAAAAACTTGGTCTCAGCGTTCCTTCCATGAGGAGAGTAAACCTTGATAGGTCAACTTTTTCAAATGATATCAAAAAATCTAATGAAAGATGCTGCATGTCCTTTGTAATGTTGCTACTCACATGTCAGCTTGCTTTTAGTAGTCTTAAAGTTCACTTAAATGAGACAAGTGAAGTAAATTAGTCTTTACTTCACAAGATCAAAAGTTAACAGTGGCAAAAAAAGAACAGAATCTCTTAAAGGTCTCTCTTCTCCTGTAGCCTGAAATACTTTCAACAGTAGCTATTTTGGAACACTTGCTTTTCCTCCATCTGGGCAGCTCTGCCAGTGGGTGCTTCAGTGTTGTTAAGAGGTTCTTTGCCATGTAACCTGAGCAGAGTTGGCAGTAAAAGTCCCTGTCACTAATCTGCACTGGGCCAGCAAAAATCACACTTCACCAAGTGAGTAGGAAGGTAACTAAAGGATGGACACATAAGTATACACAAACATGGAGGCTGCGGGGCATTTACTGGTGGCAGATGATTTGTGCTGCCAGGCTTCTGGCTCATGTTAAATGCAGAAATTGTATTGAGGATCTGGGGGAAAAAAAGCTGGAGCTGAGAAGGCTGATCTGCTCTCCTGGTTGGTTTTTTTTCTTCTTTTTGTTTTGTTGGGTCTTACAGTAGAATCATTATAAGCTTAGAGGTGGTAAAAAGACTGATTCAGCATCTCCATAGTTTCTGGGAACGTGATTGACATAATAGCGTATATTATGTTCAGTTTATAATCTTCAGTTTAAGTAAAGAGCACTATTAAAAATACTAAATTTCTGTTTCCCATTGGTTTCCTTCTCTGAATTGTGAGCACTCTTTGCATATTTTCTTCAGCTGTGCTGTGTGAGCAGTGAGTTTTGTAGAAAATCCTTGTCACTGAAGTTTAGCTGGTCCCTATTTAGCTGACACTTTAAAGTCTTAATTTAAAGTATTTTACTCATACTTCATTGACTGTTTTAATTACCTGTAGCTTTTCCCTGTTTAGATGGGTTCAGAGTGTATGTTCAAGTGTGAAAACACTGATATTTCATTCTTTATGAGTGAACAAATCAAAAAGTTATTTAAATTATATTTCTTTTAAAGATGATCTGGAAAGGATTTTAAATTACATTGGTGTCTCTTTTCCTTTGGAATGTACTAGTACCCAGAAGACTCTTTTATAAGAAAAATTTGCCTTGTACTGTTTTCTGGAGTGTTTTTTTGGAATGATGGCATTTAAGAATGAACATTATACTCTCTTTACAGCTACATTGTAGGATTGTGGAGTTGGATGTCTTTATTTCTATTTCTTCAGTGGCAATTAGTCATTACCACTTTGTAAGTATTAGCCAAAGCAGGGTTAAAGCTGGTTAAATTGGTCTTCCATTTGTATTTGTTGGCTTCCAGTGCCTTGTCTCTTAACTAATTCATTAACCACATCACACTTTCTTAAGCCAGACCAGCTACAGTTTTATCTGTAAATTGTGGGTGGAAAATGAAGGCTTGAAAGATATTTTTCATACATACATGAAAGACTTCTCTCTTTAATCTTGTGTGTTATGTGAAGGCAAGTGCTGCAGAACTCAGTTGAGAATTACAGGTTGTTTATTTGGAGAGATACTTTGCACGCCTTCACTGTTGAAACATTGCTCTTGTTTCCGTGTTCTTGCCATTTTAAAGTTCCTCCTCATAACAACACTAGTGTTTTATGTGCCAAAGTGTGTGGTGAGCAGCAGTTCTGTTTTGGGACTGTGCTTCCCTCTGCTTGTCACAGTGCTGCCTCCTGCGCTGGGCCGCTGGGCTGCCCTTCTGACTGACACCAAGGCTCGGAGCATCTCATTATTTCTTCTGAGTCATCCTCAAGGAGCAGTCTCCAATATACCGAATTTTCTGTCTTACTCATCGGTGTTGTGAGATATTGGTTCTGAATCTCACTGAATTATTGATATGGGTCAGAACCAACTCACCGTCAGTGTGTGTGTGCGTGTGGAGAAGAGCTGGGCCTAGACCTGCAGGTCCGTGGTAAGGCCTGCACATAAGGCCTCTGAGGGCACAGGGCAGACAGAGCCAGAAGAACTGCACCAGACGTGGCTGAGCCCATGCAGAGCCCGTAGCATCACTGAAGGTGGTGCAGCCGGGCTGTCAGTGAAGGCAGACCTGCCTGGTAGCCCACCCACACCAAGCCCCTGGAACCTGTGACTGCCTGCAGCACACCTCACTCTGGCTTGGAAGGCACTGACTGGATATCCTTTCTGGGAGGGAAAACTGTAAATACAAGAGACTCCATGTGAGCTCTCTCTCTGTGTCTCTCCTCTCCTGCAACCTGAACCAGATGAACCATCAGATCTTGTTGGTAACCATTTTTCCTCTCTCTCCTTCTCTCTTTCTTCTTTCTTTACTCTTTTAATCCCTTTTCTTCTTTTACTCTTTTTCCTTCTCTTGTGGGTAACTTAGAACCAATGAATGGGGTTTTACTAAAGCTGGTATATTGATTGTTTTTAGTGAGGGTTTTCTGTGGCATGGGTGTTTGTGCTGGGTGTTTTAGTGAAATACTTTTTCTTGGTTGTATTTTACTCCTGTAAAATCTTTTGTCAAAATATCTTATTTTCCTCACTAAATTAAAAGAATTTCTCTTAGAGTAGAGTGTGTAACTCTTTCTCTGGACGCTAATTAGAGGTTATAACGAACCAAAAGGCTTTTAAAAAGTCTTCAGTAAAATGGAACCACTCTGGGCAGCTTATGGCTTAAAATCCGGAGTGTAACAGATGTGGTGCTCCTTTTCTCTGCACAAGTAAACTCCTTTAAGTGTTCACTTCTCCCAAATGGGTATTTCACATTGTCTTCCTTTGTAACTTAGTTAAGCCTTCTCTGGGCTCCAGTTTGAGAAGCTGGCATCAGAAGTAGTTAGAATATGGTACAGCAGGCTAGTAATGCTTTTTTGGACAGTGTCCTGCCTTGTCCTGCTTTCATGCCTCTTTGTAGCACCTTCTGTGGTCCCTCCCTAGAGGAAAGGAACCTGCATGGGTGTCTTTTGATATAAGCTAGATTTCAAGAGGAATTTATAATAGAGTTCTCTTTAAATAAAGTAAGCTCTTGCAGAAATGGAACAGCGGAGAAAAAAATTTAAATCCAAAACTTTTGAGTACAATGTGCAAATAATAGTGCAATACAGATAAGACAGCTATAATTCTTTTACAGAGTATATTAAATCTATGTTTATGATCAATGTAAGAGATAAAACAAGATACACGTTGGTTAAAAACTGAGTCAGTAGGTGAGGTGGTGTGAGAAATCTTTGAAAATATATTTCTAAACTGAATTAAGAAAGTTTCATAGATCTGCAGATGATTTCATCATGAACAAAAATTCAGTGCAAGAAAAACTCTTTGAAGTTTAATTTATGAAGGATTACTGTATACAAAGCAGACTATTGCTAATACAGATTATTCATTTCTGTGGAAAGCAGAAGATGTGTTTGCTGGTTGAGATGAAGCTGTCTTTCTTACAACAGCCTGTGGACAGCGTGGATTGCTCTTTACTCTTCTAAAATTTAGCAGTTCTAAAGTTTTCTGGTGGTTGTAAGTCTTACCTAAGTGAAGTGAATCTTGGCATAAACTTTGTATAACTTTTGTGAATCTGTGGCTTAATCATTTTTGGGCTAAAGCCTAAGAAAAGTTATGACTGAAAAATCTTCAGTGTCCACAGAATTAATAGGTTAGATGTAATGGTACTAAATGGGGAGAGATACTTTCACAGTGTAGGTAACTTACTTGGGGGAATATATTATCTCAAAAAAGAAAATAGAAGCCTTGCTTTCATCTGCATGTTTGTTAGGCAAGCTTACCTGTGTTGACAGGCAAAAAGTTTAATGAAAACTGGATTTTTTAGTGGAGGCGAGAACTGAAGATTAAAATTTTGTAGGAACAGCACAGCTTTATTTATTGCCTGCTTAGGTCCCACGGCATTGTTTATGTATCCTAGCCTAAAGTTCTGGTGGACAATGTTTTGGGTACTGCTCATATAGGTTTCACTAATAAACTGAGTGACACAGTTCTGTATGTATCTCATTGTGAGGTTTTTTAAGTCACAAATAACTTTTTTTTCCTTAACTCCAGGCAAAACAGGGCCAACAGTCTCACAAAGTTATTTGTTTTGTTCTTTTCAGTGATGTATTGGCACTGCCTATTTTCAAACAGGAAGATTCCAGCCTTCCACAAGAAAATGAGACCAAACATCCACCCTTCCAGTATGTTATGTGTGCTGCAACATCTCCAGCAGTAAAATTATATGATGAAACTCTCACATACTTGAATCAAGGTTGGTATACACATGTGAAGGCAGCTTGTGGTGCAGGTCTAAAACTGGAATGGTGTTTCATGTTTTGATACATGTATATATGTATATCCAAAATGAATGTATGTAAAAAATTAGGTTGGATGCCTTACTAGTAGTCTTGTTTTTTGTTTAGCTTGTAGGCTCATGTGTGTTGTTACTTCCCCTTTAGAGTCTGGTGGGGTTTGGTTTGGTTTGTTTCTTCCTGCTGTGTGCTGCCCCTCTCCATCTCCCACATCCCTCAATAAAATCAAGCCAATAGAGCTTTTAGAAGACAGATTTCAGGTAGTAATAGCTTAAAATACAGGATTAATTTTGCATTCCTGTTTAGACTTGATCGATAGTTGCAAGTTAGTTGGATATTTGCATAAGATACACACAAACAACCCTCAAAAGTCATAATAAATGTTACAGTATCAATCCCTGAACAAAAAGTGTTGCACAACAGAGGCCACTGTAATTGTTCTTAAATTAGCTATGCATATCTGCCCAGAACAGTGTTATGTTTGAAATACAAACACAAGTGCAGCTACCTTTGTACATTCCTTTGGAGTTTGTATGCATTTCACTATTGTCCCTCGACATGTATCAGAAATTAACTAGATAAATACTTCACCTGAATCATGCTGGGTTTTTTTCCTCATAGCCTGTGGTTAATTTGCATGCAGACTTGAGGTTTTTTGTTGTAGAGAGGGCCCTGACTGCTGGGTAAAATAATCTGAATGTAGTCATTGCCATTGCCTCCCTCACCTCTGGAAATTCCATTGAAGTCCTAAGTTTAATCAACTAGTATTCTGAACTCAAAATCATTTCTTATTTGTTTTAGTCCATATCAGTAGCTTTGTACCCTCTCACCCCTCCATCCCTCTCCTCTGGCTCTAATGCTTTAGGATCACTATTCCTAGATTTAGTTCAGCTTTCTTTTCCTTGTGGGTGTTGACTCGAAATCTCTACAGACTGCACTGTAATTAGTAGAGCACAAGGCGGTGGACTGAAGGAAGAAAGTGCTTGCTATCTTCCTTCTGAGAAGAGCTTGCTATTTAAGTGACAGTATCTGAAATGACTGTAAGTGTTTCTTCTGCCTTTGAAAATCTTTTTTAATATAAAGATTTCATTGACAAAGAAATTTTGCTGGTTTTTGATGTCCTCAGTAACTTTTCCTGGTGTTGAAAAATGAGAGCGTTGGTATACCTTTTTGTAAATAAATATTGGAAGAAAAAAACCAGTTGGCCAACTTCCTTTCTGTGCTAGTACTTCAGAAAGACAGTATATTTACTGCCTAGGTTAAGACCTTTTCATAAAAATTTCTCTATTAACTGTAAGCACATATGTATGTATATATGTAAAAATGTGTATCTTGGGATAGTTTTGAGACATGACATCTTTCCTAGTGAAGCCAGCCTAAAATAAGGATTGGTTTGCAACACTGAGTTGTGCTGATACATGTTTGTGTAATGAGTTGGATTAAGTCCTCTAGAAAATGAACAATTTAAATCCCCATCGCTTCAGTTATCTGGTTTCTAGTTTGCCCCCATTAGCAGGCTGTGTCTGGTTTAAGTAATTTTCAGGATTTCAAATACCCTCTTTAATTTCATCAGCAGTTGTCTTAGTTTCCAGACTTGGGAATATCAGAAGCAATGGCAAAATTTGGCCTGTTAAACTGTGGTGTCATTCCCTAAGGCAGTACTTAAGCAAGTCCTGACTTTACCCTCTGTCAGTAAGTATTTTAATGAGAATAGCAAGGAGTGTAGTTCAGAGTTCATCTGGCTGATGCTCTTAGTCATATGATTTAGTTTTAGGTGGTGCTATGAGGAGCGGGGTGTTGGACTCAATCCCTGTGGGTCCCTTCCAACTCAGAATATTCTGTGAGCTAATGGAATGTTTAAGATGATCAGGTGTTCAGCTAAAGTTGATTCTAGAGGTTCAGATGTTGGAGTGGTGATGGTTGATTGTTCAGAGGTTTCCAGGGTTCTTACTGACTATGAAATCTCTTAGATGAGTCCATTGAGAATGCATGTTGGAGTTGTGGGACAATGTTTTGAGTTGGTTGTTGTTCAGCTTGAGGTATATCAAATAACAGAAGGGGTATGGAAGAGAATTGCTTTTGAAGGGGGAGGTTTCCTTTAGGTTGGCTTGCACAGTGTGCGGCTTGGCTTGAAGTTCTGTGAGTGCAAGGAACTGCTTGGGAGAGATGGGATCAAGCTTGGAAAGGGGAGCAAAAAGGTATCCTTGCCAGCCTGATGGGTGACTTGGTAAAGAGGGCTTTGAAGTAGGAACAGTGGGGGAGGGAGAGAGTGACCAGGAGTACTTGAGACAGTGATGGACATGGTTGATGAGCAGAGGGGGCCTGGAATGATGTGCAAAAATGGAACACAGCATCAAAAAAGGGTCTCCTTCAGCATTTGGATGTAAGCAAACCTCTAAAGCATCATTATGAGGACACCCCAAAACCCTTTCTGGTAAACCAGCATGGCATCTGAAGTGCATCAGTAGTGCAAGCAGCGTAGCAGGTAGTGCTTTTCACAGTTCCAGAGCAGCTACATGTCCAAAACTCCAGAATGGAGTTTACCTACTCCTTTGTCTTGAAAACCTCCCGAGTTATTCTTACATTTTTCAAGTCAGGTATTCCTTGATTTTGACCTTTACCAAATTTTCAGTCTTAATACTGTTACTTTGTACCTAAAAAAGGTTAACTACACTTGTTGAGGAAGCAATCAGAATTTTTTTCTTCACCCACCTCGCTCAAAGAAAATGATGAAAAAGAACAGAGAAATACTTGCAGAAGTTTTAATAGTACTAGATTTTAAAAAGTGCTGACTATAAATATCTGTGAGTAAAATAACACTGGTAATTGAACAAATCTCCCTGACAGAAGAAAGTTTTCTTCCTCTTAAATATAGGAGGAGAAATTTTCTATTATTTACCCAGCTGCACTAGGTTTATCTAATTTTTATATGAATTTATGTCATCAATGACTATATCAATGTTCACATGCTGTTAGGGTAAAGACAGCCTGTACATGTGTAGAGTATCTACAGAAATGTACTAATTGTGTTACAGCAAAAAAAAAAAACCTGAGGTGGTCCACAGCTGGAGGTAACTTTGGTCTATGAAACACTGAAAGGAGGTGAAGAAATCATTTGCTTGTTTACAAGGGTATTACCTTGTAGGGCAAGTCAAAATGTCTTTTAAGTGTGCTATACACTGGAGCATAAAGGTAGTTTGGAGGGCAGTGTAGAAGGTGATGAATTTACTGCATTTGATCTTGGTGAACATGTTGAAATTTATTTTGTCCTATATTTTAATTACGGAAATGTGATTTTTGCAAATGAATATATGCTGCTCACATTAGAAGAAAAAAAATGCCTGTGGTTCAAATAGATTACTTCAAACTTTCCCTCTTTTGAAGCACAACAGTTTATCAGGTTCACAGGAAATATCGGTTTGTCCATACCAGTTTGATGTAAACCCTAACTGTCCCTTTTAAAGGCTTATTTCTGAAGTCATACAAAGCCTAAAAATCATACAAAGGCAGCAAGTACATGGACAAAATTAAACATGGGAGAATAGTATTTATGTTGTGGGAAAAGTATAAAAACTGTGCAAGAGTTTGTTTTGGAAGACCAGTTAATGGTTCTCAGTATGTTGCCTTTCATCATTTTTTTGAAAAAGTAAAGGAATTCAGCTTTGAATTTTTTTTTCTTAAAAAAATATAGAAACAAGTACTTACACTTCATGCAAAATGAGATACTTAAACCTTGAAAGTATCTGTAGTTTTAAAAGGACCGAAAAGTTTCATTTTTTTCCGTTAATTTCCATGCTGTGAAGTGCACATTGCTGTGAAGATCTCAAACACAAGTTTCAAGTACTGGTATTGTTGCAAACTGTGAATTTTAGTTTAACTGCATTAAACACAAAATAGCTTCGTGCTCTGACTCTTTCACTGATACGGTTGTTTTTCTCTTTGAAGGTCAGTCCTATGAGATACGGATGCTAGATAATCGGAAAGCTGGAGACATACCAGAGATCAATGGAAAACTGGTGAAGGTGAATTTAAGTTCTCTAGCTAGTGTTACTAACAGACCAGAGACTGTATTCTGTGGATTTTTCTTTCTGCCGTCACTAGGTATTTGTTCAGAATGTGTGGACCAGTGATATTTACAAATAAAAACATGGGAATATAAATACCCAGTGCATATCACAGTTGTGTGTACTGAAGACCTGAGTATTTTTTGCAAAGCTTAAGATAGTTGTTTCTAAGATTGTATCCAGCATCTTCTGAGCCATTACATTGTCTGTTTCAAGTGATTAGGAGAGGTAGGAGGAAGCTGGAAGAGCATTTAGACAGAAGTGGAGGTATTGTGAGCATGTTTCTTAATAGGGGTGATGGGGAATACCTGGAGCCAACCTGTGGTTTTTGCATCAGTGGGATATTGAAGATATATCCATAGGAAAATGGATCTCTCTAATTTTGCTGTTCGTTGAGCAGTTTATTCCACAGCTGAGCTCCTTTTCCCAGTTGCAGATTTGTCTCCTTGTGCTTAATGTTAGCAGAAGGTACTGTGGATCTGAGTATGAAGTACAAGAATGAGACAGACTAAAAAATTACCAATCCATGGTACAGATTATTAAAAGAAGTGATGAAGGGGAAGGGTTTGGATTTTTCTTTTCAGCATCTGATGATTGATTTTATTGAATTATCTGAAAAGTCTTATTCAGATATTAGGAAAGAAGGGAAAAATGTGAATTAAAGTCACATTGAAAGTGGTGCTGATAAATGCACTGGAACAGTGTGCCTGTGGAAGGCTGAATCTTTACATGTCAACTTTAGGCTGTATAATTTGTGAACTTTGGCTTGCTTATATAGCCCTATGGCTTGTTCTTATTTGTCTGTGGGATAGTTGTTCAGAGATCATTTCAGGAATGGTTAAGCATGAGCATAAAACTGGGATTTGTGAGTTATGTAATTAAACTTTTTACAACCTGGCATGGTGACTTGCTGCAGTAAGCATGTGGAATATTTGCACCCTTAGGTGCTATTTCCTTGTAGCCTTGGGGTATCTCTCTGGTGTAATTTTCTAGGTTTATATATGGGTGATGAGTCATTTGGTAGGTAGAATAGGACAAAGCAGTGTAAAAGTTTAAAAAAGTAAATTTTACCATAGCAAGGTGTTGTAATGCTGCATCAATTAACTTTTTGTTTTGGCCACTCAAATACTGGAATCCCAGTACTTTACCAAAGAAGGCATTTCATGCTGGTGGAGGTGGCTGCAAATATTTCCAAGTTCCAAACTTGCCAGTTTGCAGTGCAAAAGGAGTGGTATGTTTGTGTGTTATCTTTGAAATAAACCCAAGGAAATGCAATAAAGAGACACTCCATTTAAAAGTTCTTGGGTTTTGTGGACTCTTTTGGCTGCTGTTAATACAGGGAAGACTGTAGAATAATGAAAAAAATGATGCAAACATGTCTGTACTCTGTTTGTTGGGTAGCAATTAATGTGTGCAGTATTTCCCCCCCCCATATGTAACAAATTGTTTGGTATGTGCACTCATACATTTAGCAGTACCAAAACTGGTCACAAATTGTTAGATAATTGCTTCTACCTGAATATAGTTGCTCATGTTGTAGTTGTTTTAGATTAATATTTCAGATAGAGTAGTTGGGAAAGTTTGGAAGGGTTTTTTATCTCTTCTTTCTATTAATTAAAATCATAGATTGTAAATATGCTTATAAATACTAGGAAGGGAGTTTATTTTATTTCCTAGAATGTACCACAAAAAATCATAGCATTTCCACTGAAAAAATGGTCAGTAATATTCACCACTTTTTTTGTGTTGCATTCTAAAATAATTTGATGTTGCCTAGACAGCGTTGATACTGTGCTGTCAGTGTTGCTCAGTTTGCTGCATGTAATTCATAGTGACCTTTAGAATATGCAATGAGATGGAATTCTCTCTTGCATTTTTTACCACATTTTCAAGTATCTCCTGCTCAGTTCTATTTCTGTGTTCTGGAATATTTTGGGATCCTGATGGTTGCCAAATTTTTTGCTGTAAACATGTATTTATCAGCACTGTGGCTTTTTTGAACTGTTTTAGAGCTTTATCTTCAGGCTGTTTCTATATGTGCAGTAACTTGTGGGTCATCAGATCCTTGTTTTCTTCTTTATTAGAGTATTATAAGAGTTGTGTTCCATGACAGAAGATTGCAATATACAGAGCACCAGCAGCTGGAAGGCTGGAAGTGGAACCGCCCTGGGGACAGACTTCTTGACTTAGGTATAATTGTTTATGTTGGTTGCCACTGTATGAAATTCAGTTCTCAAATTGAAGTTGATCATGTTCATATTTATACTGGAGCTGGTGATAAAGGACAGACCAGTTTTTCTGGATTCTGCTTTCTCATCATGTGTATTTTGAATATAAATGTTCTTACCACTGTCACATTCCTTTAAAGCTATAAGAAGTGCTATAAAAGTAAGATAGCAACTCTACGACCTTACACATTTAATAATCTTTCTAATTTTGATTACTAAATGTTACAGTAATTAGGTGAACACAGACAAAAGTAACTTCTAGTAGATTGTGAAAATGTCGCCAACATGGTTTCTGTACTTTGCGTAACTTGATCACTTTTGGTGCGTAACTTGGGATGGCAGCAGGGGAGGAGAACCAAAAAACACCCAAAACCTTGAGTACTTTGTATGTTGAATCTACTAAGTTCTTCATATCCTAGGAAACTGTTTCTGGGCTTATGCCAAGCCACCAAAGCCCACATTTTTCCACCCTGCCTTGTGTATGTTTATGGTAACCTTTTTTACAATTTATTTATAGTGTTTTCTTGCAATATGATTAATTTGATATATATGCTGCTTATTTTAATAGATATTCCAATGTCTGTTGGAGTCATTGATATCAAGACAAATCCAAGCCAGCTCAATGCAGTTGAATTTTTATGGGATCCAACAAAATGTACATCTGCTTTTATTCAGGTTTGAAACTTTATTTGACTGGATGTCTGTGTTTGGTGCCTTTCAGGTCACAACCAGTAGTATATTTGCACTACAAAGCATCTCAGTTTCTTAATTGTGAGATGGCCATTAAATACCATCTTTGTGAAAAAACACAAAGGTTCATAGTTCTATTAAGGTCTCTAGTAAGGTTTTTCAATTTACTTTGAGTTTATAGAAAAATAGATAAAAAGCTTTCAAAAAACTCTTTGAAGAAAGCTGTCATAGTTAAAAAATATTTAGTTATAAGAAGTATATGAATTAACTAATATCCCTCTCAATAACTCTCATTACTACTTTTTTTTTTCAAGTGAGAAGCTCACGTGCCTGGTGGTGGGCTTAAGCAGAATCCTGGCTTGAGGATACAAAATGAAAAGTATTGTCTTAAAAAATGAGGGGTTTAAATCAGATATTCAGTTTCTTACTATATCAATAGGCTTCCTTGTATTAGGAATTTTATTATTTGTGTATTTAATATTCAGAGCAACTGAACATTCTTTGTTTGGGAATTATTAATATGGAATGTTCAGATTTGCATTGGGATTTTTACCTTTTGTCTCAGATCTGGTTTTATTATAAAAAGGTATAGGTATAAAGTTTGAGATAGCAGTGTTTCTTGCTGAGGCTGTCAAAATAGGTTAAATTCCATATTGTCAATAAATTAATTTTGATCTAGTATAATAAAAGATACTTTTTTTAGTAGGAGTTACATAATTAATAAAATGTAGTCTCCTTGAAGAAGTACGAGATAAATTATTGAATATTTTTGTTTATGCGCTTCCTTAGAAGTGGTAACAGACTGAAAATGGAACTGATACATATTATGCAAGTACAGTTCACTCATTCTAAAGACTCACTTAAAATTCCATAAGGAAGCAAAAAAAAATTGGGAGCACTGTCCAGTGAGATTCATCATAACTCCTTCTGTTGCACTGATTTTCTCCTTAGATATCTTTTAAGGGAATTTCTAGCTTATAAATCCACGTTTCATTCTGATGTCGCACCTGAGGCAATTCCATACTGATTTAAAGGCCTGTGGACTTTATTTATAGAGTTGGGCATATTTGAAAATACCCTGACATGAGGGTGCATGAGATGAGAAACTCTTCTAGTCAGTGACCTTTTATAGCTTTGCTAATATTTATTGCAAGGAACTGTATGTGATGTTTGTGACATGTAATAAAATTTATGTCTGGAATGCTTCTGAGGGTTGTTTTTGTTTGGTCATGGTTTCCTTTCAGGTACATTGTATCAGCACTGAATTTACCCCTCGTAAACACGGAGGAGAGAAAGGAGTTCCTTTTAGGATTCAGGTTGACACTTTTAAACAGACTGAAAATGGAGAATATACAGATCATCTGCATTCAGCTAGTTGTCAAATCAAAGTTTTTAAGGTAACAGCAGAAAACAGATCCTTAAGTCTCTCAGAAGTTCTCATAAAGATGCAGAACATCATGATGTTACTGCTTGACTTCTGAGATCAGATTTCAATAATAAAACCATTTTCCACTTGCATTCTTGTTCATTTATAGCCCAAAGGAGCAGACAGAAAACAGAAAACAGACAGAGAAAAGATGGAAAAGCGAACTGCACATGAAAAAGAGAAGTATCAGCCTTCATATGACACCACAGTTCTTACAGAGGTAACAAAATAAAATTGCATCTGCTGACTCAGGAGAAAATACATAGATACAGCATGTTGCTTAGCTGCAGTCTTGGAAGGGTTGGGGAAGAATCAGTTCTACATAAAGATAAGCTTTTTATTTGACAAATTTGTCCAGTGAGCAGCAACATTAAATTTTAAGCTATTGTTTGGTAAACTTGCATTTAGATACTCGATAGATTCTTGTATTAAACCACACTAAGATTGAATGCTGTCTGACTGACTGTACTGAACCCTCAAGACTTTTGATAGAGATCCAAAAATCTTGCATATGAAAAGCAAAAACAAAAAAAAAAGAGGGGGGACTCTTAGAACTTAATTACCAAATTTGAGCTTCAAAGTCTGTTTTACGGAGATTACTGAGTTTAAGGCCAGAGCCTCAGTAGGTTTTTGCATTTTCTCTTAATTTAAACATCAGTGAGTTCTATGCGGTTTTCTGAATATTTCAGAAGTTTTTAAAAGGCTTTTAGATCTTTCCTCACTGTATAATGAAAAGAAATTGATCCACATCTTTGGTGTTTGTCCAGATGAGGCTTGAGCCTATAATTGAAGATGCAGTTGAACATGAGCAGAAAAAGTCCAGCAAGCGGACTTTGCCAGCAGACTACGGTGATTCTCTGGCAAAGCGAGGCAGTGTAAGGGACTTCTGCTTACCTTTTGATTATGCAAGATACCTTGTGCAGTGTTAGATATAGGAGAAACTTCCATTATATTAAGTAAAAATATTTTGATTGCTGTGTCTTAATTTTATTCACTTTTATGTGTACCAATTACTCCATGTTTGTTTTCAGCAAAGGAATCCTTCCTAAATCTAACACTTAAACTGTTGCAGAGGGACTGTGTAACTTAAAAGTCAAGAGCTTTCAGTTTATGTGACTTTAAATGAAATAGCTTTTTGCTTTCCTAAATGTATGTAATTAGTGGAAGTAAGAACAGTGAAATTTAGTGGTTTGTCCCTGTTTTTACTTACATTCAACAAAAGTTTTCATGTACATCAGTATTTTTTAAAGTGCCATGTGTTGTAGATGGTTGTTACTGATGTTTTCCTTTAGCCATACTGTGCTCCAGGGAGGTTTAATGCAGCTCAGAAGAGTGTCCGTTCATCTTCCTGAAGTGTTACATTAACCCTGTATGTTTACCCCAAAAGGAAGCTAACATACATCCCCTGCCCTCCCTAATGTATGTGCTCTGTAGTCGTCCTGTCAGGGGTTAGCATTTTAGAGCTCTTAAATGCTGTTCCTTAAGGTGAATATCATTAAGACCTTACATGTTTGAAAGAAACAATCCTGCATCTTTCATTTAGCAAGTTTGAATGTCATTTAATAACATGGCTGTGAAAGACAGTTATTTGACTGTTCTTTGAACAGGCACACTGTGCTGATTGCAATTTCCTGCCAGTGCTTAGGCAATGACTGTCTGACTCCTGTCCCTCAGACATAACTTGGTTTGTATTTCTGATGTGTGAAAGTGATGTATAAGGTTTTATATTTCGGTTATAAAATACTTCAGAATATGCCTCTTCTTTATAAACCATGTAACGAGTGACAGGGAACAAGCAGTATTAGATAGGTTCTTTGAAGGATTCATGAGTGGTTTTTTTGTGTTGTGCACCCTGAAACTATTGTAGGTCCTAAGCTGCCTGAATTTACTTTCTACTGTTCTTGGCTGTTGGGTTGGGTTGGTTTTGTTTTGTTTTTGATTTTTCTTTTAAGGCACACTTTAAGGATTTTTTGGCACCGTGTTCTTTTATTAGTTTCAGCTGGCCCTGGGGTAGAAGCAGGACAAAACAGGATTTTATCACTTTCACTTATAAAGCATCTTTTGAAGCTGGTCTTTGAGGGATTTCTGTGTTATTCTTTACCCTATGCTCTCTTCTCCTTCTGTTGTAATTTCATTGAATGATTGTTGCTTATAGGAAGAATAATAGAGAAAAGTATTTTTAAAAAAATTAAACAAATTCATTGTCCAGAGTAGAACATGCTGTAGCTAAATGATACCTGGAAATTGTCTAACCTTTTCTTGACAATCCCTTGAAATACTAAGCTTCTATGAATGGAAGCATTGCTTTAATTGTACAGAAAAAAAGCTGAGGTACTGGACTTCTAATGCCTTTCCCAAAGCACATAAAGAACAATGACCCACAGGCTATTTTGAATAACAGGTATGCACAGCTTTCCAATTCTCTTAATTGTGCAGCTGACTTTTCCTGGTTTGCATTTGCCCTTAATAAAATGTTGTCTTGAGATAATTCGGTGAGTTTGTTCAGACCATTTGGAATTTTATCCATGTAGAATGAAATCCTTTCAGCCTTGCTTACTTGGTTTTGTTTGCAGATTTAACACATGATATTTCCATCATTACAATGATTTTTATCATTAGCAAAATTATTAAAAATCAACAAACCCGTAAAAAATACCAAGAAACACTATTTTTGCTGTATTCATAGTGGTACCTTGGTAATTGCTACACACTCACTAAACATTGTGTTTAGCTATATAAGTTGAATGTAAACTTGTTTTCTTGATCAATAAAAGGAATATCTGATTTATATCTTGAAGGCCAACTCATCAGGCATTTTTCTCTTGTCACCAGACAGTCTCATTCTTGGGGGCCCTCTAAATATGGACAGGGATGATACATGTTTCTACTTAGAGCAATTCTGTCCTTGCAAATCTCTCTTCCCAAACTTGGCCATCAGAAGCTTTGGCTGTTACCAGACTTCCCTCATACATGTAGATCAGATGTTCTGTACAGTTGTGAAAGAGGGGCTTAGACACAAAAAGTGAAAGCCTGTTTCCATACACTGGTTTACATATTACGTATGATGTACCTTTTTACTTCAGATGTCCTGGGAACTGTAGCTCCATTACAGAAAAACAGTATTGTTTGGAGTGTGTTTTTCTTGATGCAGTCAGGAGTGCTGGCTGTTACTTAGCCAGTGGTGCTTCCTAGGTGCCCAGAAATAGTTCTGTTACCTTTTCTTGAATTCTGCAAATTAATATGGATACAATCTATAGTTCTCTTCCTTTTTAAAGGTGTGTATTCTTATCTTCTGCTTACACCTAACCTGTTATATAGGCTGTCTTTTGTATTCCTTTTTGCATCTCATTTTGTGTGTTGTTTTTTTTTATTCTGCCCCTCCAAGGTTCTGTTGTTCTATTTGTTGGATATTTCTATTTTTTTCTTTCTTTTTTTCTTCCTCTCCCCTAAATGATTACTTCCAGATGAGTCATAATCAGATTTGGACATATCAATTTCTCACTGTGTTTCCTTCAGAAAACATTGAATCTAATATGTTTCCTTCCAATTTAATTTGTATGGGATTATAACACAATGCAAGGAGTTGAGTGAAGCTTCATTTCTGAACAGCCATTCTGCTCTTTCCTAAGAACCAGAGGGTTTTCTCTAATTACCATAACCCATCTTTTCTTTATCACTCATTTTCATAGCAGTGCCATCTAGGTATGCTTTTCCATTACTTCTCTTAATTCACCTGATGTATCAAAATTCAGTGCATTTATTGCAGTTTCTGCAGTGTTTATTTCAGTATTTTCCAAACAGACACATAGTTAAACTGCTTGTTAAGATTCTTTTTTTATGCTATGGAGCATTGACTTTCTCTTTAGATATATGTGCTGGTTTAAAAGTAAACCAGTGGGACAAATGAACCCAACTCGAGAGATTACAAGTCACTTACAATTTACTAAAAAGGTTACAATAAATGCAATAATACAGAGAAAAACTGGTTTTAACCCCCAAAGACAGATGTATAACCCCGAACCCTGGGACAAGAACAGAACAGTGTGCATTAGCCCCTGTGCTGAGCACCACGTGGTCCCCCTGGGTGCAAAGTAAAAGGAAAGGAAACCTGTTGGTCCAGATGACGGTCGCAGTTCCGTTGAGTAATGATCACAGTCTTATCCAGAGTTGAAGTTCTGGTCCTCCTCTGGATCCAACGAGTGGGACCAGAAGTCCCAAAACCCCAAGATTATATATGCTCAGGTTCAGGTGGGAATGTCCAGAACCTCCCCCAGGGTGGGGATTTTAACTCTGTGACTCTGTGAGTCAAAGGATATTTTTGGAGTCTTTGATAGTGTAGGTCATTGCAGCTGCCTATTATGCCAGTCCAATATGGCCCATTAGCAAAGATGACCCCTCAGGCTGGGTATGAAGGTGCTAATGCCTCCCCGAGGTGTGAAGACAAAGAAACCCTCACAGGGTTTCTTTAACACCCAACTTGTAGCCTGAGCTGTCAGGGTGCCCTGGGCAGCTGCTGCAAATGATCCATTATTAACAGTCCATCAGAAATGACACAGAGGGTGTAGAATACACAGTTTTGGTTATACCCACATAGTGATAAACTGGTCCCAGCCCCATAACTAGGACAATATAAAAGGCTACAAACTCAACACTCTTTTCTGGACCTCAGAGGGGATGTTTATTTACAGATGACCTTCATTCAGGAACCGTTTTGTGAAGGAGGCACTTTGTGTTTCCTCTCTCCTGATATATAGAAGATAGTGGTTATGTGAGGAAGAAGAGAAAAATCCCACCAGATTCTTTCATTCTCCTGCTTTGAATTTGGAAAAATAGGCAAATTTGGATTGTGGTAGTTAGGTCTTTGTACTTTTTTCTGTCTGCAGTATCTTAGTTGATTTTTATATTAGCGTATAGTATATGTCATGAGCTAGAATATATAAACTACAATTTGACTAAATTTGGTCAAATGGTATTTTTTTGCAGATAGAGGTGGTTATAGAGCCCATGGAAGTTAGAAGACTTCCTGATATAGGCCTTGAAATTAATTAGTATATTAAGTTTTGGACATGAAATATTGGAGCAGAAGTTAAATATTTTCTGTAAGTGACTTAAATTTAGAATATAAAATCTTCTAGAGGCTACATGAAGCGGGAAGTGGAGCTGGAACAAAACTAATTTAGTAACATGAGCATAGTATTTATTCAGTTTCAACATCTATACTTTGTGTAGCAGTATCAGCATACACCATACGTAATGTGGGTGACTTCACATTTTGGGAATGACTTCTTCTGCGCTCATAACAATTAAGTCTGTATGCACAGAAGTTTTTTGCTTTTGCTGGCAACTGTGTTGGTTTGGGGCAAACCCCCTGTATTTTATAGGTTTGTTGAAAAAGCTGTATACCATGTATGAGAAGATTGATGCTCTTTGCTTTCTAAAGATGATTCTGTCTGCTCAAGTATAGTAAGTCTAACTTGGAGAACAAATTAGACTTACCATATTTTTTTTTCATGTTTATTTGGCATTTGAATATAGTATAGAGTTCTTTGTCAAGGTTCAGTTTGAAAAAAAGGCATAAATTTGGGCATATTCCAGTAGATTGGAAGTAGGAAGGGGAAGGACATTGAACAGTGGCTTAGAATTGCTTGAGATTTTGCAATTCCTCAGAAGCTAGGAACATTCTGAGTTTAGGTGCTATATATACTGAATCTGGAAAGTCATTCTGTCGTTCTTAGAAAGATTTGTTATCTTCTCTTTAAATCAGTAAAACCATTGCTCAACACTTCATAACTTCATTCATGGCCTATACAGAAGGCTGTTAAAGATTTGAAAGGAAAATAGTTTTCTCCTTCTCATTAATTAATCTACATTTGGAAATCAGACAGTTTATGGAGTACAGTTGTATCAGTAGTATTGTATCAGTGTACTAGTAATGGAGGGCAATTAGTCTTGAGACCTCAAACACCTGATCTCTGGAAATTCAGCAGTGTATATTTTTTTGTGTATTGTAGGTAAAGGTATAATGCCAGTCTTATTTCTATTTTGTGATGACTTTTTACAGAGTTGAATGCTTCCTTGTGACAGAATGACACTTTTCTCCTGGTTTTGCGTTCACTGGCCAGGGACTTCCGTATTAGTATCATTATCTTGCTTTATGTCCTTTGCTTAACTCAGTTTTGCCTTAGAAATAAGAGAAATATCCTGACTGATCAGAGGACAAGTCCGTGAAGTCCAGTGTTCTGTGCCCCACAGTGGGAATGGCAGGTGCTGTTTCAGGGAAGCCCTGCCACTTTCTCTGATCCATTCTCCTTATAACCACCCACTCCCCCTAGAATCCAGAATCATCGTGCAGGATGTTAGAAAGCACGTCTGCTCAGTCTTTTTAGTGTTACTGGATTTGATGCCCAGGCATTTGCCTAATTGTCTTTCTGAACCTGTGGGTTTGTGAAGCATAGGGCAGTTGTGCATGGAAGTGATTCCGAAAGCATAATCAGCTCAGCTTGGGTTAATTGCTGGAAGACTTTTTTTGTTCCTTGAACCTTTCAGAATTAAGTATCTCAGTGTTCAAATACTCGTTTTTCCCTCCACAACCTGTAAGACAGAAGAAAGGAGAACGGAGCCAATAGACGTGTTGCAGTAGTATATCACTTACTACTGCTTTTTTTTTCTTTTTAACCAACTGATTCAGTCTCAGTGGATAGATAGTGATGTTTTTGCTGGAAGAGGAGACTAGGTAGGAAAATGTATTTATGGGAGAAGAGAGGCTACTTGCTTTTTGGGTTGGCATTCTGTTTCTCTAAATACTTAAAATTTGCTTCTTCCTGGATTTAAACTCAGAGTTCTGTTGTGAAGAACTTCAGCTGGTTTGAAGGACAGAAACATTACTTGCAGTACCTGCCTTGGGAAATGCCTCAAAAGACATTCTCTGGCACCAGTGTATTCTTTGCTGACCCTGAATTTAAATATATGGTGAATAGAATCTTGTAAGGGAATGGTGGCTAAGGATATAGAGCTTGCATCTGTGTGTCCACATAAACATCTTAGGTTAAAATATAGGGAGAGAATGTCAGAAAATTAAAGAATATTAATAGCTCTTTCAAAATATTTCAGAAGAACCAAGTTAACATTATTATGTTGAGCTTTTATTTCAACTTATGGCTTTGGACCACATAATTAGGGAATGAAGGCCTTTTGTAACTACGTATGTGGTGTAATACATCATCTTTGATATTAACATAAAAAGTGAGCTTGAGAAGAGAAACAACAGATGGGAATGTACAGAATAGGAGGAAGAACATGTCATCCTACAAGGTCATAGAGGAGCGTGCTTTGTGTGGGGGGCACTGTTTGTAGGCTGAAGGGTGGCTTTTACTGCATAATCAAAGGCTGTGTATACAGTAGGTAGCAAAAATGCTGGTTTGAATCAAATCTCAGACAGATAAAGAATGTTCCTAATTTTTAAGCTATTTGCATGCAAGACTTAGTTTTTTTAAATTCTGTGCACTGTGCTGGGGAACTTGCCATCTTAACTCTGACAACCGAAGACTGGAGTCCAGCACAGAAATGTTGTTGCCTCTCTTAGAGAAGATGGCAGCTGGTTGGTGTTACACTTGTTTACTGTTTACCCTGGATGGCAGAAAGATCTTTCAGCACAAAATTGTTGAAATAAGTTTGCATTGATGTTAGTTCATACTTATTCTCCTCCCTCCTCCTCTTCCCTGCTACAAGGCTATGATATAACTCTGGAAATTCCTTACAAAGTATTTAGCTGGTGCATGATAAGCATATCAGAAATCTTTGTTGTTTTAACAGGCATGGTCTTAGCTTACCTCATCTTGGGCTACTTGCTTGTTTTAATCATGTCTTCAAAGATACCAAATTGTGTTTTTTGTTCTTCTTTAAAATACTGGATTTTCAATACTATCAGAAGCACTAAAGGTAGCCTTGTTTTGAAGGGCTTAATCATCATGGTTTAAAAAAATACCCAAAAAAAACCTGACAAAATTTGACAGCTGGCTTATCTTATCCTTGTGATGACTTAAATTTGTGTAAAAACTTCTAGTTTACCAAGCAGTTCAGAGAAATCAGTCCATGTAAGTAAACATATTTTAGTCCTGCTGTAAATGAATAAAAAATTTGAAATTAACAAAAATTTATACTGAAAATTCCATGTGTATTTAATTGCTCTCAGGGCAGGTACATTTATTCACAAGATAAAATCTAGCTTCATAGCTTTACTTACTATTACCGAGCACCTATTGTCGTGTCCTGATACCTGCAGTTTAAACAGCCCTTTCATCCCGCAGGATGAAAGAAGTTTTCCAGCAGGTGGCTGGGGGTTGGTTGGCTTTGTTTTAGACTGAATAATCTGTACAGGTCTTTTGTCAGTTTCATAAATAATACCCTAATTTTTTTAAACAGAAGACAGTATAACTAGGAGTCTTCATGAAAGAACAAGATAGAACTGATTTTTACCTGGAATATCTGCATGTAATGTGTGGGATAGAGGGAATCTCGATTTGGAATTGCAAATCGGAATACTCGGTGGATAAAATCCTGGCTTTAAATGAAACAAGTGTGCATCAGAGTAAAGAATGTATTGTCAAGAGAAACTCAAGTTTTAATTCTTTATCTTCAGTGCTCACCGTGGCCTGATACTCCTACAACATTTGTAAACAACAGTCCTACTCCTGCTCCAACTTTTACCTCTGCTCAGCATAATACCTACAGTGTCCCAGACAGGTAGGTTTCTATTCTGTACCCCAATTAAAGATAGCATTTTAAAATCAGGCTTATTCAAAAGGGTTTTCTGAGTAAATGCAACTACGTTCTGGTTCCATGGGGAGTTGAAAGATCATTTTGACCTATATATTCATTCTTTAGTATGATACTTGTATCATTTGGTTCAGTTATAAGGTTATTACTTCTGCATCACCATTTTTGTTTCTTCCTATATGTTTTTAAAAACAACTTCTTGTCCTTTGTCATATAGCAAATACTTTACCTTTTAACTATTTTAATTTAGTCCTTGCCTATGGAAACTGTTTTTAGCTTTTTTCATTAAGAACAGTTCATTCCCCTCATACACAGTTAATATAATCTGTACGAAAAAAACCCCAGCAATTCACAAGCATTTCAACAAAAATTGCATTGGTAACATTTTATATTGAGTCATTAATTAAACTATTATAACCAAATTTGCATTTGATCCAAGAATGATTTACAGTGGTATTGTCTGGTCTGTTTACTGGTTTTTGTCTGCCTTGTATTTTACTAATTCTTCCTCAGTCACCCTTCTAAGGCAGTGAAGTGGCCATGTAACCTCCCTTGAGTGTTGGTAAATCTGCTTCTCCAGTACATAAAGGATATATAAAATAGGAACCAGATCACTTCCATACTGAAGTGGGATGATCTTTCTCTTGAGTTTAGCAAGTTTCAGTCTACGTGGTGTTTAATATGTCTTTCACCTGTGATATTTATTGTTTTGGGAATTTCAAGTTATTTTTCAACAAAGCTTAAGTATTTTGGTCCATAAAATTCTAGTAATACTTTTCTTTTTGTTTTTTAATCTGTAGCAATTCTTCCTCCCCAAATCATCAAGGAGATGGAACCTCTCAAGGATCAGGAGATGTGAGTGTTTGCTTTCTGATACTGATCATGGCTGTATTTGTATAGTTGTATCAGAACACTTGATTTATACTCTATTAATAGGTACTGAGGAAGTGTTTAACTGAGGGAAATTTTTAAATGGCTTGGGGTCTGTTGGTTTTGGTTTTTTTAGTATCCAAATTATCATATCCAATCTTGTTTCTTACAGCAGCTTCATCCTTCGGCCACAATCCAGGAAACTCAGCAATGGTTGCTCAAGAATAGGTTCTCAACCTATACAAGGCTTTTTTCAAATTTCTCAGGTATCTGTAGTTTACTTTTTTCTTTCTTGGTGTTAATGAGCAAGTTCTGTGTTGGAAAATAATTCTCTAAGAACAATATGGTATACATATTTATTTACTGATTTGCTTATTAAATAGCAATGCAGTTTCCACTTGTGTTTCTGGACACAAGACATGGCAATAGATGCACTATGTGGGGCTGTGTTTTGTTGTTTGCTTCTTCAGTGTTGCATGTAATTGTGCAGAGGGTGGGATGACACTACACACCATAAATAAAATTCATTTTCTGTTTTCTTTGGAGACACATGATGAATGATGCCAGCTCTCTGCCTCTTGCCTTAGCTCGTGCTTCAGTCAGGATTCCCTTTGTACCAGACTTTTTCCCTGGTCAAGGGAAGGTTTATTCTTCTGCTACTGGTTAGTTTTTGATCTGTGCTTCTTGTATTATGGTTGCTAAGCTTTTTCAATAAACTTCAGTACCAAATTCTGACCAAGGCTCTTGGAAAACTTTTCTTCTTCATCATTATCATAATAAAAGTCAAATACTACCTGGCTGGTTTTTCTTTGAAGCAAGAGTATGTGGCTTTTATTATACTACTTCAGGTGTGAGCATTTTTTGATTACAGTATTTAAGGGCCATGATAAATTATTTGTGCTGGCTTTTACCTGTGCATTCCTAGATAGTTTGTGGAGTATTTTCACAAATAAAGATTTTTTTTTTCCTGTTTTCCCACTCATCTATTACAGTGACTGATTTTTCAGATGGTTGATTTCTTCATCGACACCTATGTTGCTTCTCAGAAGAAACTTCCATTTTGTTTTTAGATCTCCTTAGTATCTCTGAGGCTTCCTTTTCTAAAGTAAATCTTCAGGGAAGCAGTTGTTTTCACAGATCATTAATTTGCAGCATCTTTTAAAAAAAACCAAACAAAAACCAAAACTGATTTTGGATGGAAGTATCCCACAGCCTGGACTTGCCCCAAGTTGCTGATGTACTGATTTGTCCACACTGCTTTAGTTATGCCAGCCTTTTAGCAGCATTACGTGAGTGCATTGTTATAACTTAAGTGCACAGAGGACATGAGGAATGAGTCGAGTGCCTGGGATAATTCACTGAGTGAAAAGCCATCGAATATCTTTGCTCTGTATTTTGCATGTGTTCAAAACACACTGAGCTGGGTGCCAGCAAAAACCATTGTTTGTCTACAGAACAGTCGTCTGTCTCTACAGAAATTGTGTGCCTTGCAGACTCGTACTGTTTCAAAGATGTGAACACTATAAAGTGTAACTATCCACCTCTGGAAAACAGGTCAATGTTATTTAGCACTCACTAGTGCCTATTTTGAATTTTACTTAGTCCTGTTTGCTAGATTCCATTTTTATCATGGTGAAGTTTGTTGTCATTGGTTGAAATGAACATAAATTTATTTTAAAAAATGTTTTTATGCAAAATAATCATTAAATCCTCATGTATTTCTCCAGGTGCTGATTTATTAAAGCTGACAAGAGAAGATCTGGTACAAATCTGTGGTCCAGCTGATGGAATTCGGCTGTATAATGCACTGAAATCCAGGTAATAGGCTGATGGTGAGGTTGTTGGGTGGTGTTCTGTCATTTCCTACAGATGGGGAATTCCAGAATTGGGAGAGTTGGGAAGTTAGTTCAGGATGGACCTTGATGCCTGTGTGAGCTGCCTCAGGAACTGGCAGCAAGACGTTTAAAAATTACCTCCTGTGTACGCCTCCAGGGCAGAGCCAGGAGAGATGCAGGTGGGCCCTGCCGATTTCCTGATACAGATGGATTTGTTGCCAAGACACAAAACTTGTCATTCAGGGGAGCTTAGAACAACCTGAGGCTTTTTGAGGTTACAGGCTATTGAGTGCTAACACAGACAGCATCCCAGGTGTGTGTCTGATTCTGTCTGAAGTGGGTATTTCTTAACTGTTGACCTTTTCAGCAGATAGCTTGTTGTTGCTCAGTAGTTGTGTTCCAGAATTACAACAAGCAGCATCCTGATGAACTCTTAATTGATTGAAATGTTGTTTAAATGCAGAAACATCTGAGAGACCACTTATCTTTATATTAATATAATTTTTTGGGGTCAGTGAAAGAAAACATGTCGAGTGCACTGTTAGCATAACAAATCTATCAGTTTCTGTATTTCCAGGGCACGTAGGCTTTTCTCTGACGTGATTTCCTTGAACTGCAGGTCTATTAGGCCCCGTTTAACAATCTACGTGTGTCAGGAGCCATTACGGAGCATACAACTGGAAAGACAAGATACAGGCAATGGTGAGAGCAGCAACGGTGCAATATACGGTACGGTGCACAGCGGCCTCTCTGCACACCATTCCCTGTCTTAAAGGTCTAAAACAAGATAGATGGGAAGGAAAAAAGCAGTGAAGAGGCTGAGTTTCTGTTTCTGGTGTACAGAGAAACCATGGGAAGTTGTATTCACAGCAGTAGTGCTGCTTTAACACTGCACGGGATGAACAGAACCTAAAACCTCTCAAGGTTAAATGACTGGGGTTTTTTCAGTCCATTGATAGAACTAACTAGTTACATGGTAATTACTTAAGGAGCTCTCTAGCTGTGCCTGTTGTTACAGACAAGGTATCTATCTACTGTATAAATGTAAAAGCTAAGTGCAAATAAAACACTTAAATTCTTTCCCATTTTCTGTTAAGAGTTTGCTGTCATTTTCTGTGCAGCTGCAGAAAAACTGTAGAGCCTGGGCAAGGAAAATCAGCCAAGCAAGTGTATGGGCTCCTGATTTTAGTATTATTTTTCTGAAACATAGCTGTTATTTCAAAACAGATGGGAACTTAAAATTCATGTCAATCTTAAAAGAATGGAGCTCTTTGAAGTAATTTTCTTGCTCTTGACTTTGAGAGAAGAGACCTCTCTTCCCCAGCTGAAATCTGTACAGGCTGTTGCTGCAACAGTGCTTGTGTATTTTCCATGCAAGAATTGAGGTGGAGGAGGATCTGTAAATAGAATACTGCTGCTGTCAAAAACGTATTTTCCCCCAGATATCTTCAGTCTTTGGTTTGGGGCAGAAGAATGTGCAAACATGGAGCTGCCCAGGGTTTCAAACACTATTTAATAAAGCTACAGAACTGTAAATAAAGCACCAAACTGAACAGTTGCTTTGTCTTACTGTTCGGTTTGTTTGCTGTGCTGTGTTTTCCCCTGCCACCCTTCAGCTCTGAGGTGATCTGTAGGAAGTTTATTCAGACAGTTGCGAAAGCCTTTCCTTACCAAAACCAAAAAATCTATATCCCCGTTCAAAGCAACAACATAGACATGTAAGTCAAATGTATTGTATTACCTGATTCTTTTGAGACTGCCCAAAACTACTTCCAAAGCCATCTTTAAGTGACTCTCTAAAAATCCATTTAAGTCTGTTTGACAAGCCTTTTTGTGCAGGATACAGGAAAAAATGGGGAAGTTGCGTTCAGTCTCAGAGCAAACAGAAGCCTCTCCCTTGTCAGAGTTGTGCTTATGACTTTTCCTTGAAAGAAAAGTCAGAGCAGTTCATACTTCTTAGTGAGAACAGGAGGAGGGTAAACTACACGTTTTTAGCTTTTAAAACTTTTTAAAACCTGGTGTGTAAAGAGATTCAGATTTCTTTTCATATAGTTACTCGTTATCCATTAGTACCATGCTTATGTAAATGCTTTTTTTCTTGTAGTTTATCACGCAATCTACTTAGAGGAGATGGCAGCCTCAGAAGTCACACGCAAGCTTGCTTTGGCATTTAATATTCCTTTGCATCAGATCAACCAGGTTTACAGACAGGGTCCCACAGGCATCCACATTCTTGTTAGTGATCAGGTAATGGAAATTTTATTTTCTTGACATTTATTTATGAATTAGAGTGGAGAATTTTCTTATGCTTGCTTATTTATTACTGGTTTTTTCTGTTTGATAATGCAGCCTAGTATTTTCTGATATTTTAGAATATATTTTCCTTTGCATTGAAACAAGCAGGATTCTTTCAATGACACTTGGTCTACCTGATTTAATTGAGACTATGATGAGAGGCAACTGGTCTGTATAGGTCTATATAGTTAATCTATATAGATGCTGCAGTAATTACTTAGCATGTATTTATTTTGATCATGCCCAAAGGCAGGGAGTATTCAAATACTGCTGAATTCGGCTTATTCAGGTGTCTGCTACACAGACTTGGAGTTCCCAAACCACAGCCAGCAGTAATGGGCTCCCAACTGGTTACATGAGTAACAAGCAGTGGATTTTAATTTGGTATATATATTGTGTCACTTCAAGGAAACAAAAAATATGCAATTGCTTATAAAAGGCTGTGTTTAGTACCTGATTTGGTGTTTTTTCAGCATCAGTCTTATTCGGGAGGGTTTTGAAACTTTTTTTCTTTTTGCAGATGGTTCAGAACTTTCAAGATGAGAGTTGTTTCTTATTCACCACAATAAAAGGTACGTTGTCTTTTCTGACGGTCTAAAACTTAATTGTTTATTCCACCAAGGAGCCTTCTTTAGAGCAAAAAAATAAAAAAATCTGTACACATAGTGGCAGAAAAATAAAAATCTGTACACATAGTGGCAGAAAATAACCGAGTTCTTCCTGTCTTGGTCAGAACTTTCAGCCTCTGTGTAGCACCTCAGTCAGTTCTCCAAGGTTTCCAGTTCAGCGCCAGTGCAGCATTTGGTAACAAATCTCATACAAAACTCAGCCATCACAGTGCTTGCTGCTGATAATTGTTGAGAATGGTGATGTTTCAAAATAATTTAAAGTCCTGGCAGTAGTACTTCTGAAGTTCAGAAACTGAATGTTAACTGAGTCATGAGAGTCCGCAGAACAGAGTACAATGTTCTGTTCTTTCATTACTAGTCAATAATCATCTTCCGTGGGTTGGTGCGGAATCCCACAGCTCCTTAGGAGTCCAGTTTATTTCTGGTGAAAGGTGCCAGCAAATGGCTGTAATCAGTGGACAAGTTTGACTCTGTGCAGACTTTACCTACAGAAACTGTCCAACTTTGAAGATCCAATTACAAATCATTAATCATAACATCTTTGCTTAGCACAAGCAGAAAATTTTTAAAAGCTATGTTTTTGGTGTGGATGAGCTGTACTTTTAAAACCAAGTCCATATTTTGGTGCTTTGGTGCCTTGGCTCATATTTTTATGGTTCTGTTTAAGAAAGATTGACACTTTATTCTTTTTTCAGCTGAAAATGGTGAAGGCTTCCACATAATTCTGAAGTGACGTCACACAATTGCTACACTGATACTCCAACGCGGAATGAAGTCCTGCCTAAAGATTATGAAGATCATCCAAAACCTTAGGATCTAACTTCACTGTATAAGATGTTTCATATTGAAAACACAAAATGACCTTTCTAATGAGCTGTTTGATAGGTGAACTTTCTTATCACTGCCATAGCTAAGTGTCCTCATGAGAGGTATAATGCCATGACAGCTTACGTACAGGCATGGAAGACAATGTAAGCAAAGGTGCTTGCCCTTTACTGAAATAAGGCAAATTATGGCCAGTAGATACAGTTCATAGAAGCAGAGCAGTGTTGCTTTTCTATTATCTGTATCCAGTTGGAGATGAATGTAAACTTATTTGGGGGCATTTACCTTTCTGTGCCAGTTTGTCTATTACGTGCTTGTACCTTACGCTGGTTTTATTTTTTGATGTTAGCAGAGCACATGCTAATCTGTGTGGAGATGAGTAGTTAAGGTGATAGTGATCAGGTTGTCAGGTCTTTGAGAGTAAAGCTGTCAAAACAGCTTCCCGTGTAAATTGTGTATAAGAGTGTATGTAAGAAGTGTAAATGCCAGAAAAGGGCTTTTAAGAAGCCCTAGACAGATGCAATATATGCATGCAGCAAACTGCATTATCAATAGTACCTTATTGGAGGGTACCAAGTAATTGTGTTTTGCTTTAATGAATTTAATGGAAAAGAATTGCCTATGCATCCTTTATGTTTAGTTTCGTAGGTTCTCTGCGGAGCACTGCTGCAGTTTAACTCTTTGCTTGTAAAATTGTGAGTTTTAAAAATACAGCAGTGAGAGGTGGGGGTTTCTGACTTAGTGGAATTATGCTGATGAGGGAAGATGACCCACCGGCACCACAGGGCTGTCATAGCTTTCAGCAACATCGAATAAATTGCTTAAGAAACACTAAATACACACCCTGTAAGTCTCCTTCCCAGCAGTGAACGCCCTGCTGGAGTTGCTATTACGGACAAACATCTTCTTACCTTTTCTGTTGACCTTTCTCCGCCCTCCAGTCCATACTGTACACCTGTTACAGTGCCTCTTCCATATGACCAAATACTCACTTTTCTCTGAAACAGGCAATGTGCTTTTTTGGTATTTTGGATATTTCTTGTACAGTCATGGCACAGCATTTCCTAGGGTAACATTAAGTTTCAACTGGTTAGGTACTTAAAGGGGAATATTTCCAAACGTGTTGGGTGACAGTTTCAGACCTGTCATTTTGTGCCTTTGGAAAGTTCCACCTTGATCTCTGGCTAAAAGCTTGGGAATAGTTTTGCTTTTTATGCTGCAGTGTTCCATGTAAGCAACTACTACAGCATGTAAAAAAGCAACTTTGATTTTTTTTTCACTTCCCCTTTCATAACTGGCATAAGTGCTTAGCAGAAAAGCTTCTGAAAGCTGTAGCATTTTGAAAACTTAAATTCATCAAACCTAGAGGGTTTTTTCCTATTTTTGTTTGGTTTTTTTTTTCTGCACTGAAAGTAAAATTTTATGTACTTACTTAAACATTTCTGACTATGAGTTGTTCATCTTTGGGTATTGTTTGGTCCTAGTATTTTCTTGAACTGACACTTGTGTCTTTTTAGTTCACACCACATTCAAATCCAAATGTTTTATAAAAGTGGAAATATCCTTGATTGGAAAGTATCCAAATATCTAATTTTAAAAAATCTTGAAAGTTGTACAGTAGTTTGTCCAGCTCACTTGAAATTGGAATTAAATTATGGCACCAGCAAATTGCTTTTGTTTTTTAATAAGATGTACACATTTCAATTTAAGTATAATAAATGTTTTTCAATAATTTTGTAAATGTGCTTTTCTTTTTACTTTTTTTCCCCCCTCACACGCAGTACAGACATGTCCACTGTTAAGACTCAGATTAATTGCAAGATCTGCTTTGGCTCTAATGGTATGTAAAGGCAAGGAAGGGAAGTAAACAAGCTCTGTAGTGTGTCCTGCACCCAGCAGAGTCACACAGATCTTCTGCTTCCAGTAGCAATCTTGGGTAGATTTGAAATAATTGCAACAAATTCAAGTTTGACATCAGCTGATTGTTTATTTAAGTGTCCTATATCGGAGTAGGTTCCATTTGTTTTTGTACATCTTTAATGCAATGGACTTTTACAAGGTTCATTATGTTCTTAGAAAAAAATGAGCCAACAAAAGGCAACACATCTTGACATATTGGTACCAATGACTTTCCTGGTACAGTTGAAAATAAAATCTGCTTAAAACTGTCTTATTACAATAGCAGTGTCTTCATGGAACTCTAGGTGTACGATTGTAACAGCACTCCACTACTGTGCAAAAGAAGCCCAGATTGGCTTACTTTGGAGTAGTAAAGAAATCCATGTACTGTACTCTAAGCTATAATTTAACCCCGAAGATGAGGTCTTAATTTACTGTCCCCATCCTCTGAATCATGAATGCAACCCGGCTGTTGCTATCCATAGAAGTCTCATGTTCACACTCCTTTTTAGAAGTAGCTTAAAATTTGGCGGGGGGGGAAATTGCATTACTATCCAGTAGTAGCTTTTCCAACTGCTTTTTAATTTTCAGTAAACACAGGCCCTGAACTCTTAAAACATACACACACACAATCAAACTTACACAGAAAAAGCTTTCTGAACTGTCGAGTAGTTTCTCTCAGATAATTAAGTTGCTTAATATAAAAAAGTTTATCTAATCCTCTAGCATTGAAAAACTAAGGATGAAAGCATGGCCTTAAGAGCTAATACATAGATTTCATCATTATTATTACCATTCAGAAGTTGACAGCTTCTTACCCCAAACATGAAGAGTTGGGCTTTTACATTTGAAAACCACAGGTTTGGTTTGGTTCAACTCCTACCTACAGAGTTTATTCTATGCTTGTCCCTAAAATGGATGGGACAAACAGCTTGAATCCCTTGCTCCATTCTATTTCCTGTAGCTGAACCTGGTTTCCATTCTTCATCTGTAGAACAGCACGTATAATACATCCCTCTTCCTAGAACTGCTGCATCCTTTCCATACAAACCACAGAGGTAACTGAGGACACACAGGAATGGCGTTACAGTCAGCACCATGTATGGTTGTGGCAGCCAGTTACAGTAGAGTGCACAAGCTCTACCACAGTGGATTTCTTACCCCTGTTAAAGGCCGATGGCTTTGGGCATAAACGTGCGTTTGGTGACGGGCAAGCTTTGTACGAGCATAGTTCAACTGAACCAAGTCCAAAAACTTGGGAAGTATTTCTATTTATACAGTTATCTTGAGGTACTATCTTACCTTTTGACATTACCTATTATGTCCTGTTATGTAATTAAATATGAAGCTGAATCATGAAAAAGAATAAGCTGCTGTTTCACTGTAAGAGCTTACGATTACTTTGCATTTTTTTGGTCAACATCTGCTAAAGCTGATTTGTCCTTACACCTGATATTTAATCTGTCATGTATGTTACAGAACAGCAGGTTCAGTTCCTTGGTGTGATGGACTCGAGCCCCATGTTAAGTTCGAACTTCACATGGAGTAGCGCTTACAAATGCAAATTAACTCCCAAGTTTAGTGACCTTTCACCAAGTGGCTGCTATGCTGCAATGCCCACACGTTTTACATGGTACTGCAGTTCTCATGCCAACAGAAGGAAGGAGTTACTAATACAAACCAAAGCATCACCAACTTAATCCACAGCTGCACATTACGTTAAGATTTTTACCTGGAAAAAAAAAATGCTTTTCTTGTCACAAAACTGGATGACCAAACACCACCATTAGGACTGTCAGGAAACCGCCTCCTTCCGCTGACTTGCAGTCCCTTTCTTCAACAACGACAGAATTTTCTGTGTGGTTGCACTTACTGTCAAAGAATAATACAGCATCTGCAGAGGCGCTGTCCGCTCCCTCCGACCGAGGGAGGGGGAGTTACTGGAGCAAAGTAAGCATGAACTTTCACGTGAGGTAGATGAGCCTGTGGGTGAAAAGTCTGCATTATAATGGCAGAGAGAGAAACATAACTAAAAAGAGAAAAGTGAAGAGAAGCAGTATACCTCAACTGCTGCCAACAAGTACTCTCTCATGAAGGTGGGTTAGCTAAGAAGAAAGCATCTATACACTGGATGGTAGCCAAGCAGTCTCCTCCTGACATGTAATTCCTCATGTCCCATCCAGCTAAGGCACTCTACTGTCTGGGCATTCAACTTGCACGGGGCTCCCACTGGTTACCCAACAACACTAATCAGCCCAGACAGCTCTCCATCAGGAGAGGCACGTGTTTTCCCTCAGGGGAGAGGGGTGGATCCCTGGCTACTTAAGGAGGACTTGTCTGTACCTTGTTTCCCATAGTTCTCCTGCTGTTCTCATCCTGGAAGATGGCGGGAAATAGAATTGGGCATCTGCGCTCAATTTGAGTCACTACTGGGAATGAGTTTTCCAATTCCAAAAGTTTTTGGACACAAATTTGGGATATGAAGCTGCAGACAAGTTTAACAGCAAGGTTAAAACGCTGCCCCCGCAAGGTAGGCAGTCCCTGACCTAATGGGCAAGGTACACAGAGAAAAGGTTTGGGGCTGGATTCCAGGGTCTAAGGGCCCCACAACCCATCAGACAAAATATCCATGCAGATGTTTTACTATTGGCTCTGTGTCTTAATGTATATTTTAGAATAGTTAAAGAATACCACTACACCATCCTAAAAACTGAGAGGCCCGTATTTGAAAAAATATGGAAAGCAGAAGGTAACCTTCATTCCAACAGCAAAAGTGTCATGAGTCAGAAACTGACAATTATTGCTGCTCATACAGAAAAGTTACCTACAGTCTCTAGAGGTGGGAAGACCTAATAGATTGACAGTCAGACTGTTTCCAGCCTTCCTGGCTTGGGATGCCTGTAGAACTCATACAATCTCAAGCAGTATCAACAGCTCTGGTGTTCCCATGGGAACAAGTCAGCAAACACATACTCTGATTCGTTTGATTCCAGCTCGCGTGACTTGCTGACAGTCGTACAGCTCAATTCTCTCCAAGTTGTGGCAGTTCTCCAGGTGTTCCAGAGTCACATCAGTGATGAGAAGACAGTTGTCAAGCTCCAGTACCTGCAGCCTCTCGTGACCACACGTACTGTTGCTCAGGTGAAGGATCCCATCATCAGTGATCAGTTCACAGTGAGATAAGCTCTGAAACAGAGAGGCAAACAATTAACAGCACTCAGTCCTAAAATAATCTAGCCTCTGGACATCAGAAGTCCTATTGAATCTCCTTTGTTCCAGTGGTTAAACAGTTACAAATAGTACACAGCTGAAATCCGGAAGAGTAAAAACAAGGAACTGCTTTACTTAACAAAATAGCTGTACTGGATTTTTACTTTGTTTCGCAAGTTGAGTCCCAAAACATGTCACTGGCAAAATTCCTCAGGCCCCCTTACTCTCTGAGAACGTGGGAATTCTGTTCCAATTGTCCCACACAAGTGCAAACAGCACCGTGCCAGAAACCAGAAACAACTCTAAAGGATGACCAAGAACATACAGGAATGGATGAGCACCTACTCAGGAGTTACTGTTTCATAGCTACCACAAGGACCAAGCCTGTGCAAGTCCACATAGATAAAGAACAATCAGACTGGACTGATTTGCCAAATAATGATTAAAAAAAACCCAAGCTGTGAGCACTTAGCACCTCAGGCTGTACGTACAAGGAGCAATAAACATCTTGTGTGCTACAGGACCAGTCTTTTCTGCAACAGTCAGCATAATAAACCAAAAAAATCTGCTCCTCTTCAGAGTGTTTTTTTAATCCTTTGAATTTCAAGAACATGGAAAACATTGCTGCATCTCAGGCACCACACAAAGCACTTTCCTTGTTCCTTGAGGGAATTCATGACTTTTGGAGAAGCACGGATGATGACAACAACGGGAAACAGACATTTCTCGGAGGAGGCTTAAAAACCACTCTGTCACCAGTGAAATAAATGCTCTCAAATCTTTCCCAGGATCTGTGAACTCTCCTCTTGCCCTGGGCTCTGAGCTAATGCCTTTCTTTATGCTCAGCCCTGTGTTCTGCCCATACTTGTTTCTAAGTCTAAGTCTAATGGTGTCTGGTTCTGAAGAAGCGTTTCCCTGCCCCAAGTTGTTTTTTTCAGATAGCAACTGATGAAGAAACACTTGCAGCAATCCAAAAGCACTTTTTAACTCAGAGCTGCTCAAAAGTACCTCCTGCCAATCATCTGACTGACATGAAAGCTTTCCTGACCCTCGTTACAACACATCTATCCTCTATTTCAGCCGGACAAGGAAGCCTGAGCACTACCAACCACTCTCTCTCCTGCACCTACTTTCTCTATGTACATGCTCTGAGCATTTGGTTTGGCTCACAGCCTGGGACCAATCAGCAGCTGCAGGGTTAACCAATGTTTGTAACAGATCTGCTGTTTCAAGGAAGGACAGGAGGTTCTGTGGAGCTGTTGGCTATGGCAGCAGTCACTGGCTAATTAAGAGTATTCCATCCCAGGAAGTAAGCAGCTTATAAAAATCAGCTTTCCTGAGACACAGTATTTGGTACTGAAAGGACAATACAGGATGTACAGCTGAGTTCGTAGAACTTTGTGAAACAAATATGCCAAATGATACAAACTTCATGTTAAACCACATGATTTTTCTGACTTCATAAGCCTGATAGGAAATGTTAATGATGTGGAATTTTACAAAAACAGTTGCTTGAAATCTTAAGAACAAAAATATATGGTGAAATTCTTTTCTTTTTTTTTTTTGTTAATACATATCGAATGCTGTGTATAAATCAAATATGGCCTGACATACTGTGAGAGTAAGAAACAGAGTGATCAACTTAAATGAAGAATTCAACTGTCTTCTCATGTCCAGGAATATCACAAGTATTTCAAAGATTCTCTAATAATTTCAATGTACAATTATTTGACACTTTTGCTAGAAATTACTTTTTAATTACAATAAGTAAAGCACTTGAGTACTCTGATACTGACAAAGATTAGTAGTTGGCTACAATTGGTCTAACAGTTCTTTTGCCTGTTTCCACCATCTACTGAGTCTCCAAACATCAAAAAACAAATTCAAAGTTGATCATTGCAACTCCAAAATATTTATTGCAAATACAATTAAATATACGCTAAAGCACAACTACATAAGAGTTTATAGGACCATCAACAGTAGGTGATTTCACATTTGAAGCATCAAGATTAGTTTGTGTAGTGTATTTATCACCTGCTAGCCTTGTCTTTTCTTTCCCAGCAATTCTCATTGCTGTTCATGGACAATCTGACTATATATCCTTTCTTCCCACAGGATACACAGATCAACAAAACCACCAGGTTTTCTGGTTCCCTTAGAAAAGGTATGATATTTTACCAAGGCCACACTTCCCTGTCTGTGGGCTAACACACAGAGGCCAGCAAACAGGAGTAGGTTCAGAAAAAAGTCCTTGGAAACTATGAGGTTTTATGGTATCTCTGTTGAAGCACTGGCAGAACTGGTACCAAAGATTTCTTGCAAAAACTGGTTACAACTGGGATTACAATACAAAACCGTGTCCCTTACAGAACAGAACATGTCCCATGCAAATGAGTCCACATCTTCTGACAACTCACTTGGTTTAACATCAAGAATTATGATTCAGAAAAGAGGCCAGATGATTAATAAGCAAAAATAAAGAACAACAACAATAATAAAAAATAAAGAACAAGTTCCTTTTTAAAAGACAGTTTTCCTCATGTTGCTACCTTAGTAACCCTGAGTGAGTAACACTAATCATAACACAATTTAATTAAGAAAGCAGCAAACCTTCCTTTAATCCCATCTAAGAACAGATTATACAGATACTTGTTCTCTCACATAGATCTAAGTAATACATAACAAATCTACACTTATGGGACAACTGGCCCTAAATAGAGGAGCTCCTACTGTAAGGACAATCTAGTAACTCTGGAGTACCTTGAATAAAGAACAGAAATGTATGTCACCTCAAATTGGTTTTGATGATCTGAAAGGTCCAAGCCACCACTCCCTAGAAAACAGTTCTCTGAAATATAGTAGGCAGAGAACCCCACTGTAGGCATCTCAATTCTCCCCAATTAGGTTCAGAAGTCAAGTTCAAAAAAACCTTCCATAATTTATTATGTAAATGGAGTCCTTGGGAAAAAATGCTTGCATGCAAAACTCATTACAGAGTGATTACATTATCTTCTCTGGGTGGTTTTGTTTATTCAATATTTGATGTGAAGTGTCATACTCCCCAAGAAAATCATTACTGAACACTTGAAAGTATCTATAAAGGATCTAAGTACTTTAAGTTGAATCGAGTATGTAAGCAGTCAAATATGAAGGATGTTAACCATAAAACATAAGCTTTCTGGTTATCACTCGGTAACATTTTTTAAATCACACAATGCATGTAAATCTTTTAGGAGTAATGTGCTGCTTTTAGAATACTTATGAAACTTGCATATATTTGGCACAGTATCATTGTGCATCAGGAATGTTTTCTAGACACAGAGTGGACAGCCCGCGTTTGTACTGCAGGAGCTGCCTCTGTGAGCGGTTTGGAGGGGATGTATCAAAGGTCACAGACAAAGAGTTCCACTTACCAAGGCTTGCAGCTTAGGGCAGTGTATGGAAAGTTGTATCAATGTGCTGTCAGTTATCTAGAAATAAAAGAAATCAAACAGCCATAAGCAACAGACAGTAGGAGAGTCAACCCTCAAAAAAGATATCTCTGTCTACCCCATCACCTGTTACTCTCCAAGTATTTCCCTCTATAGAATTTCCCAATAACTATTTTTATTTCCTACCATAAACACAGCACTATTAATAAAAATCAAAGCACATCTAACTGAAAGTGCTATTGTACTGCATCCTTACACTGGCCGTCCAATATTCCTTCTCATATTAAATCTCACCAAAACACACTCTTCCAAGTCCATCTTCTCCAGCTCATGGCAATTCTACAATAAACAAAACACAAACAGAAAAACAAAAGATGAAATAAAACACAGACATAAAATCATGCACAGAGATAGTAATATGGGATAGCACAGCTTTCAAGAGGAAATTGTGAGCTAAATCCCTTCAAGTATTTGATCACCACCAAAGAAAGAAAAAAAATTGTTTAAATAAATAAATAAATAAATTAGCAAGCAATACACCACCTCTCTCTCAGACATCAACATTTCAGCCTTCCTCTTACTTAGTGAATTGTCTTCTTCTTACCCTGTAATGTTTGACCAGTACATATCAGTACTTACCCACCCCTGCTTCCCCTCCCCCTTCACTCCAAACCCAGGGAATTTGTAGACTGTGCACTAAAGCAAACTTATCTGCATACAGATTAATCCAACTTCTGCATACATCAGCCTGCATCAAACTCATCTGAAACACACTTAAGCCCAGGGAACATCTCTCTTCATCATTATACATTTAGAAAGAAGCCTTAAAACCAATTTGTTTTGCCAATGAATGCTGAAAATATTAAAATAGGCTCTACTTTAAGGCTGGGAGAAAGCTGCACATCACATCTATACAAGCAATTTTCCCAGCAGTATGAGAGATCCCCAGCAACCTTTCAGAAGTGCTTTCAACCTCTGATCATGACTAATTTCAAGAAAATGATGCAGCCTTGTGATTTTGCAGCAGACCACATAGTGAAACAGCTCAATTTCCAGCCTATTTTTTTCAGGAATAGGAAAAAATGGTTTAACTTGCAGCCCCCAAAAGCAGGCTTGAGGTGACTCCTAAAAGCCTGAGACTGTAGTGCTGAACGATTAGAAAACCACTCTGTTTAAGCACTGAGGCTAAAAACCCCCCTTCCACTCACACTAAATATCAGCAGCATAAACGAATCCCACTTACAGAGTATTACTTTTATGTTCAGCTTTTCTAAACCAGCAAGCAAGCAAGTCTAACTTGAAGCATTTTATAAAACCAATATGCTTATTTCACGTATTTCCAGCATGAATCAGGGTAAAAGTGCTTGTAGTTTATAATGTATAATGTAAACATTCTGTAACTCAAGGGTATGCTCAGAATAATCTATTATATGATTTTTTCTGATGTAAATATCACGGGGTATGTGACATCTTTATAGGGGAAATTTGGCAAGAATATGTAACACAAGTTTAGAATTACAATAAGGATAATAAATTCAATTGAAACAAACTAAAAAAAACAGAGGAAAAAAGTGAAAAATGCAATGATAGATGGCAAATTAGATCAAGTTGCAGACCTAAGTACAATCCAGAAATAAAATAACTTTTCAGTCCCCTCTTCTACTGGGTTCTTTCTACTATAGTTTTCCTCTTCTCCTATTCCTTCCCAGCAGGAGTACATCAGTTCACAGCTGCTCAGCAGCAATGAAAACAAGGCAAGCTCTAACCTTCTGAAATGACCCTTACCCGTGCTAGAAGGGTAAACCCAGCATCTGTAAGATGTGAACATCTTGCAGCTTCCAAAATCCTGGAAAAGTTTTAAATGTTAAAAAAACACATTAACACAGAGAAAAGCAAATGCATTTGAGATACAAATCTGTCTTCTGGAACTTAAAGCTCTCAATAGCAAATGTAAATATGTATATGCCTATTTTTCACAGCAATTAGCAACTATAAAGCAGACTTTTGATCCAGTTTATCAGAAGATTCTAACAGTCACAGAACAGATTAAATTCAATCCTCAAATCTCAACATTTAGTGGAAAAAAAATTATACACAATCATTTCAACCTCTTGTTTCATTCAGTAAGAGCATAACACCCAAGTTTTCTCATGTGTTATTTGAGGAAAGATATATTTATAAGAATAAATCCAGAGACAAGGAAAATGCAGATGAAGCCTGCATCTAAAACCTGTTATCTAAACACAGGCTGCTGGGAAGCCCCAAAATTGAAAAACTGCTTACTAGAAATTCCCTCAGAGCCTCAGCATGAAGCACAGTGAAGCAAGTTACCAGAAAGCAAGGAGCTTAAAATCTCCAAGCCCACAGTAAAAACAACAAACTGTGCCAACACAACCTTAAAGAAAACAGCATATTGTTTTGGAAAGATAATCCTAACAGTCTTCCGAGAGGCACTGGTGAGCAGTACTGACCAAGAAAAATAAGTCAACTGCCCCAAACAGCATCACTAGCGTGCACAACAGGCTCTATCCCATTAATGTTTTGTTGTCTTTATTTAATTTTTCCTTTTTTTAATGAAAACTTTACTTTGCAGGTGGAGTAAGTATCAAGGTGAATAAGGGGAAACCACAGCGCCGTGTAATGAGCAGCACAAACTAAGTGCAGCTTACTCACCACAGCAAACACTACTGCTATACTGGGGCTGGTGGGGAGGAGGCAGGGAAAGATGGATAAAAGAACTTCTTGCTGTGGCAACACTTAGAGGCTTCCAGATCCTTCCACTGGCTTAGGAGGTCATTAGAATGCTCCCTAGAGACAAAGTGCAAAGGGAAAAGCCACGCTGTGCGCATGAACTAAATACAACCCCACCAAAGTACAGGATATGGGGCTCTGACTATGACTTTGCTGGATCAGCCTCCTCCAAGCCAAAAACAAGAGAGCAGCCAAATCGAGAGTTGAGCAGCCCCATGGGATATGTTCTCGAAAACCCTCTTCCAGAGTTGTAGTCTTCAACAAGGAAGTATGACAGAAACTCAGAAACAGCCAGCAGAGAGGTACAAGATAGATACCTGTTCCCAAACGGATGGTTCTAACACCTCTGAACTTTCTTTCCAGACTCACATTTGGGAACTCTGTGCCCTTCCACCAATGGTAGCTAGCAGCCTATCATAAAATACTCTCAGCAACTCTGAAAATTACCTAGGATACCAAACAGGAAGGAAAAAAACTCACCACCACACAAACCCCCCACGATTTAGGTCACATTTGTTACCCTTCTAACTCCTTTCATCAATTACTTGCTATGAACCCCACCTTATTACACATTTGACTTTGAAGGGAGGTGGGGGAGAATGAGGACTGCAACATGTAAAATAGCAAGGATGCTACTTACTGTCCATCCAGTTGAAAATACAGAAACAGAGGAATAAGAAAGCAGAGGACAACAATTCTAGCTTTCCTGAAATAGGGTATGCAGCTAGTCTGGGGAGCAGAATGGGGAGTGAGCTGTATATACACACGCTGCATCAATAAGGCCCCAGCATGAAGAAACAGGTGGGAAGGCACTGGGCAGCATGAAAATTAGCAAAATTCTAATTTTTGCTTTTGTTTTAGTGATTGTACTTAAAAACACAGAGGTCTTTTTTCCTGATACAGCTGACATGTGTTTCCCACCTAGTGATTTGTGACAACATTCCTATCATAGGAGCTAATGAGAGAAAAGGATATCCAAGAGCAGATTTCCCACCCCTACAAAGCAACGTTCAGACAGACCTCACAGTTAAATTTATTGTCTACAGATGTCTTTTGGGCACACCTGGAGTGTCTCTGAACACAGCACCTCCCTACTCCTGTTGAATTAGCAGCAGGTGGGGTTAAAAGGAATATGATCCTAATTTTCACAGGCCCACCCAAAGACATGCATGGTTCACCAGTGCTTTTCTTGATAAGCCTCACCAAAACATCTCCCAGTATTTTAACACTAAAAAGTGCTAATGAAATAAAAAGAAGAGAAAGTATCAAGCATCTAAAAGAGCAGATATGGAGAGGGATGAGAAGACACCTATATCTTGATGTGAAGTAAGAAATACAGCTGAAGGGTCAGCTAAAAGGTCAAGCTTAGGGTTTTTTCCAATGAGACATCATTTGTGAGTGCTAACAGCTGCAGAACACGGTATCATGGAAAGCAGCCATAGTAGGACGTTCAAGACCCTGAAATGAAGTGAGAATAGCACAGCACAGAAAATACTGAAAGGTTTCTAACAGGGCCAGCATGTTCAGCAGAGGCACCAGAGTTTTCTTTCATACTCAATCACAAAATATTCAGAAGATACGAGCAAGTGTGGCATTACATTTCCCTTTGACTTCCAACATAATTTTTATCAGGTACTTTGCATACACAATCCCAAAACTCTACATGTAACCAGCTGTATCATCTGTCCTTCCATTATGCACTAATCCTTGGCAGTAATCACTGCAAAAGGTCATCCTGTTTCCTTATACTCTTGTTCCTCATTACAGGAGAAGAGTGGCAGACGCCTTCCCCCTCGTGGCACAGACAGGGGCTAACAGGTTACCTACCAAAGTCAAAACAATTCCTGCTGCAGTTGTATTGCCCTTGGAAAGAATTGCAGAGCTAATACCACTTTAGAGCTCCTTTTATTTCCAGTAGGAGCCATGCATTGAGAGAACAAGAGAAACAGTGGGAAAAGACCAGTAATAACAGCACAGCTTTCCAAGGAACACAATTTAGTGTGTCAGGAGACTCCTAAGCCCCTACCACTGGCATGCAAAAGCTTTGTAAGTAAGTTACATGAAGGGGACTGTCACTCTGGAATTGTTCTAAGGACAGGTTTTCTACAGTAACAAAACCTCTTTTTCACTCTATCAGCTAAAGGAACACTGTGTCAGCATACTGCACATTGGCATTTGAATGCAGCTTCCCCTAATTTCAACAGTCTACACTTTTCCTCTGCCTGTGATTGAAGTATAACAAGTTGCCACTCCTGCATGTTCCTGTCATAAATGACAATTTAGTGTGATCCAAAAATCTTACCCTTTGATTTAGTTTACATTAAAATGAGACCTTCTAAGAAGTATTAAATGTCTCTACACATAGAGCTGTTGCATGATGGCCTCATAAAAGTCAAAGCTGTCTGCACTTCTGAGAACTCCACCAGAACAAATACGTTACCACAAATTACACCAAAGTAAAAGTTTATATTATTTTTAACTGATAAGCCCCTGCTGCTCAAAACATATCCCATAAATATCAGTCCTCAGCGTTTGCAAAGACATTAGCACAATCCGTATCAGAGTTTAAGAACACCCAGGATGTATTACAGAGCATATTAGAATACATTTGTATAAAATCTGTAAATAAAATGCTCAGATATGATTAAGCTTTTTTTTGCAAGACAAACGACTGCATAAAGCCACATCAGAGTACAAACATCACAAGACACAACACATCTACAGATATTTTTACCTTTTAAAAAAAATAATGGGCTTTATATCTTCTTTTCTTCTGGCATGTAATTAGTACCTAAAATATTTAGCTAGAAGCACAGAATTGAACTGCTAGGTTCAACATCTTTCATTTGTCATATTAACTCTTGTTTTTTCCAGTACACAGTGAACTACATTAATATGATATCTACAGAGGACCAGCCCTTGAGTTTATATTCTAAGCTGGTACTTCTAACTTAATTTTTTGACTGCAAAGGTAATGCAAACAACACAGAGCTAACTCAAGTCTGTGGACATCAGCTCATTATCTTCAGAAGTGAATTTCTTAGCCGAGGCCAGTAACAACATGACATACTTACAACAAGCTCACGACATACTCACTTCAGCCTTGGACAGTTTAGACCAAGTGCTGTGAGAGAAGCATCTGTAAGGTTGCTACAGCCTGAAACACAGAGTGATTGGAGTCTATGGCATCCTCTACAGATTTTTACAATGCCTTCATCTGAAATTTGCTGCAACACAGAAGAAGGTTGAAGTTATTCCCTTATCAAGTAATCAGCTAAGATTACACAGCAATAACAGCACAGCTTTTACGGGTAATCAACACACATTACTGAACTGCTGTTGTCATGCTGTACGTAAACCAAGGCAACCCAGACATTCAACCAAAAAATACCGTCGTGAGACCATGTACAATAATAGTGAAGATAATCAACACACACAATTCCTACTTATCTACATATTTTTCCAAGACCTCAAGTCCTACTCAAAGGCAGTCTGAAGCATAGAGCGAGAGTTGTTTGTTGCTGTCTTCCTTTTTCCACTTTGCTTTTGTTTTATAATTTTTCACATCTCTTTCTTTTAATTGTGTTTGCTTCCTATATGTTTATGGAGTCCAGATCTTCCATTCCAGTGACTGTGTAAGTTCAGCAACAGTGCAAAAGAGAGCTTAAAGCCTGACAGCAGGAGAGGTAACCACCTATTTTGCACTGGTGCAGTAGGACCCAATGGCAAAAATCCTTCACTTTCAGATAATTTTTGAAGCAAGAGTTACAGGTAAACAATCAAATCTGCATTCTTCACAGGTTTGTCCTACCCTATGCAGTTGCCTTTAGATGAAAGATTTAACTCAAACAAGGTTTTTCATTTCTCAAAATTGTTTTGTACTAGATATTCTGAAAAGAGTAACTCTAAATTTGTAATATGAGCAAAAAAGTTCTCTCTCTGAAACAGGGACTACAAGAAATAGCCCCATCGCAGGTGCACACAAAACAGCAACAGGAACTAGATTATTGGGAGGGGTGCAAATATTACTTTGTTTACAAATCTTCTATTCTGGAAGAAGTTTTCTCTCCTCCTCCCACTCCTAATGCCATGAATTTAATTTCTCTTCTGTATGACTAATCCTGCATGGTGAAACAGGTTGTTTTATTCCCTGGTTTAATATTACTCTTACAATAGTAACAAACACATCTACTTTTTTTTAATGGAAAATACACATTCCTTTTATAAGCCCCTCATATAAGTATGCTAATACAACTGTAGCATATTTCTGAGGCTATTACCATAAACATTACCCTTCACAGATGAAAACAGGATGAGAAATAGCAGTAGCTCAGCACAAAGAGAGATTACCTTATGCTCCCTCCCCCAACCCAGTACTTTTTAATATCAGAAGTTTAGATTTGCAACTTGTTCTGTCAAATTAAATTTTTATAGACAGAAAACTTGAAGTCTCGTATTCCTTTTGTAGATCTGGAAGGATTTGCATCATCTACCACTAAGAGGGTAAGTTTTCTTGTGTTTTTTTTTAAATAAAATTTCAACATCAATCAGGTATTTCTGATTTTGCCTCTCCAAAAACATGTTATTTTCTGGAACTGTTTCATTTCCTTTGAGAGATAGTCATGACACTATTATTGGGAAACGGAACTATTCTGGAGGTAAGGACTATGTAAATTTTATGCTGCTGTTGGAGATGTACAAGGCCTTTAAGTTATATATGAAAACTTTCCATTCTGAAATTGCTTGCAATTTCAATGCCTACAATCATTCTCAGGAAAGTGCTCAAAAAATGCCTGCAAGTTCCCAGTTTCTAAAATCTTTCTCTAAAGATGGTACCTTTCAAAAGTGCAGTTTCCAGAGATAATATCAGTACATTCCATAGCTGCTGGTGCTGGCCTGGCATTTTACAAGGTCCATAAAACACAGCCACTAGAATTACAGTGTGGACCATATAAAGCACAAGGAGACCTGCTGTGTAAAAATCCGTGCTAACCTTTGATCATAAGGAGTCTGGCTGCTTGTGGAAAAGTGCTTCAAAGCCATAGCAAACAGGACACATCTCCAGTGAAATAAAGCTTTAAAGCACATGTAGGACTACTACTGATGTAGGTAGGACTATTGACTCAAAAAATTCAAAGGGAAAAATACTTTCATTCAGGAGGCTTTTTTGTTTGTGCTACATGACAATAGACACCCTGGCCAAGTGAAAATTCTGGTACACTTCTATGCCAGTGCCCCTTTTAAGCAGGAGAGATAGCAACTGATTATCATCAGACCTCTTGAGAGCCTTCCAGAAAAATAATCAGAAAAGGTAGGCCTTTTCATTCTTCATTAGTCTCAGATAAAACACAACAGAAAAAGAACTCTGGAGAAGGAGGACAGCAGAAGGAAGAGTGAAAGGGGAGGAAATTACATACTGACTTTATTTAAGTGTGGTTCTGACCAAAAGGAGGAACTTCCTTTCATTCCCGTTATCTTTAGGTACCCAACTTCAGTGGGCATCTAAATTCAGACCGAAAAAATCTGAAAAATTCCCTTTTGCTAAACATCCGGTCGGTGCACGGGAGCTCAAGCTTTGTATTCACATTGTTCTTGATTTCTGCAATTTTTAATGTAATTTTTAATAATCCCCAACACTGAACAATGACCAACACTTCAAAGAAATCTCTTAAGTCAAAAAATTTTCGTCCAATCTTAACAAAACATGTTCCCATGCCACATTCATTTGGGAACAATCCATAACACAGATTTGAAAGTTTTAGCAGATTTTTATGATGCCTTCTAGCAATAAAGCTAGAAAATTTTCCAAAACCAACAAAACAAAAATCTAAATTCATTATTCAAATTTGCATGACTGAAACATTGAAATTCTAATTTATTTCAGTATTTTCTAAGGTTTATTTGCAGGCAAAGAATGACTTAAATATATTTAAAATCTAAAAGAAAGTCTTTCCCATTCCTTAAAAGTCACAGCAGAAACAACAAAAAAGCAAAAATAAACCAGAGCAAATCTCATTTGTGTTAAGTAGAATTAAAAGTACATGAATGATTCCCAGTCATTTCATTACAAATGAATGTGTTCTTCCATTAATATTGAAAAAGCATGCCCTTCTGCTACTTTGAGGGTTCTGAATCATCTTCAGTTATGATGCCATTACATTTTACCCTCAATTATGTAGCCCGGAACATGACTTCTGCTCAATTAGAAGCCTTAGACTAAGATGTTACACAGTTCACGATAACTGAACGAATGCAGTTAATTCTTACTCTAGAGCTTGCCACAGTTACAAGATGTAATGAGGGGGGAAAAAATAACACTCCAAGTCCACACTCAGCTTAGAAGCACCCAGCTCATTTAAGACCTCTGTTCCACACAGAATTCTATAAACTGCAGAAATGTACTATTTGACTGATTTAACTGGTTTCTGATTCTTAGAGAATGTATCTTTTGAAGTTTCAAATACTTACTGTACAGGATTGCAAATTCAGGATTACAAGTTCATGACAGTGATTTTGAATGTGTTTCAGTGCTTCATCTTCTAACTGTATTTAGTAATTAAATCAGACATAGGAAAAGAAACAAGAAATTAAAAGCACAGCAAAGCAGCCCAAAGAATGTACACATCTTGCAATATTGAACAAAATCATATAACAAAAACAGTACTTTTTAATTCATAGAGATTTCAAAAACCCAAAATAAAATTTTATTCCTAAAGGATCACCCAAGCAATTATGTACCTGTGTGCAACCTCTAAGAAATAGAGCTTTTAGTCCACTACACCCTTTCACCAGTGCTTCAATACCATCCTTCGTAATCTGATCACACCAGGAAAGATTCAAATGTTCCAGATTTCTGCAACCCTCACTGGGAGAATTAAAAAAATACATAAAGTTAAATCCAGCCTTCAAATAGTCATAACAGTGGGAAACCCAAATTAAATACACTGTTAGAAATTAATGACAGCCAGTGGACTGTGCCAGGCCTCCACAGAAAAGTCATGAGAAAAGACCACACACAAACACCATAGTCTACACCCAAGAAGTCCTAGATATATAATACAGTCAGTGCTGATTCACAGTATCAGGGTTCAGCACCAATTTTTTAAACTTTATTAAATGCTGAACAGCTCTTTAAACACTTTTGTTTAACACAAAACAGTGAAAACGTCTTACCTCAAGCCTTTCAAAGAGCTGTTTGTGATGGCTACGCAAGATGTTAGATCCAGATGTTTCAGCTTGGAACAGAATCTGCTAAGACTGTAACACGTGCTGCAAAACAGCAGACACACTAAAAATACCTTCAGCTACTTCTTTTTCCAAATTTTCCAATCAATCAAAAAACCTCTTTGACTTACCTGTCAGTGATTTTTGTGCACCCATTTAGATTTAAGTGTTCGATGTTTCTGCAGTTCTGTGCAAAGGTCCTAAAACAGCAACAAAAAGCTGAATTAACATAACGTCACAAGTGGTAACACAGTCACTAGAGCGCGCTCTGTCCCACACCTCTCTCCACCTCGGTCAAAAAGCTTAATCTTTAAGTCACAGAGGAATTTCAAAGTATTCCCCAACTACATCCGTCCTAGTAGTTGCTTTTTCCTTTTCCTACTGCAAGTTTCTGTCTAAGATAAGTGTTGTTTCTCTCTCAAACACCACTTGGGCAAGGTGGTTAGTTCTGTCACATATAAGCCAGAACTGCCTTGCTTCAAATGCTGTAACTAAAAACACAAAGGACATAAACAGAAAGGTTTAAGTATCACATCAGTTAAACCTTAAGTTTCTGGGGAGAGTTTTCACACATCTTATTACTGAAGCCTTTGTACATCTTATTAAGGAGCTTGTTCCCACAGCAAATGAAAAGGGACATACCTGGTACAACACAGAAGTATTGGACTACCAGTGGAAAGCCCAGTGGGCTGCAAATTGCTTATTTATTGTTTTCAAAATTAAAATGCATCAGTGTGCTCTACTGGGTATGAACTTAAGGATGATTGGAGCTATTATACTGCTGAGAGCCTGTATGTACTAACTGCCCTGAAGAAACACATAAACTTTCTTTTCATCTCTGCAGAGTAATATTTACAGCTGTGTCGCATTTCAGAACACTGTTTTTATGCCCATGTTTCCTTCAACTGCATGGATTTTATTGGCGGGGGGGAGGAAACACAAAAACAGTTTTGTCTGGAGGCTTGCCCCGGTTAACAGATCTGACTACACACTCAGCTGGTAAAAACTTCCTGGCTTTCCAGAGTGGATTGAAAACAATGGAGAAAAACCCAGCAAGCAGTTATACTGCGAGAGTTTCCACTTTAATTCTCAAAACAGCTATTCTGAAATTCACGTATTGGAGGGAGATTTACAATAAAGATACTCTTCAAATCACTTGGAAAGATGTTACACTCTGGAGGAACAGCAAACTGCCCCTGAGATTCAAGCATGGGGCAGTCCCAAGAAAGCTGTCACAAACATTCAGTACTTACATAGCCAATACCTACATCAATAATTGGCTATTTTACACGAAAGTTGGTGTAGAAGAAGGATAAATAGTATCACCTACAAAACTAATGGATCTGGAAACAACACAAATAGCCTTATAGGAAAAGTCACTTTTGGAACAAATATCTGAAAATTAAAGCCACCTTTCTCATGCTAATGTTTTGAAAGTCTTAAAAGTCATGCACTTATCATTCATTTGTTAATTTCAATATAATCTCCTTATATGTCAGAGGTGAAGCATCTTCTTTTGCAAAGTGTCTTAGACACCACCCTCTGCACCAGCTGGTTGTTAAGGATGCACATATGTGAATACTGGTCACAGTCTGGTGGTTGCTCTCAGCTAAGCCTGTCCTGTTACCTGCTGGCATGACCAGCTGTATCATCCCTACAACATACATGTTATGCACTGAACTAATTAATACTTATTCTAAGTATCTGCTTACTAAATAAATAACTATTTTCAAATATCCCATCTCCAAAATAGGATCAATCATAGGATTTTTGGTCCTATTCACAACTGTCACTGCAGTCTCCTAGCCCTTAGTGTCCCAAAAAACACAGCTGAGAGCCTAAACTAAGTGTGAAAATGGAGTTATTGGGCAGAAAACTGCCATCTACCATCCTGACTCTTTCCTCCTACACCTTTCTCAATGCCTTCCCTGCTAGCTCAACATGGTACTTGCTACCTCTCTCCAGTCCTGCCACCCCCCTTTCTTCCACTTCTGCCACTGCATTCCCTACCGAGGACACAGGGACCATCTAAACGCTCTGGGAACTTGAAAGAGCACTGCAGAAAGTTAACTCTGCTTGGGACTAACTCTTTTTTGATAGCAGTTGCCAGTAATCTAGGAGAGGCAACAATATGCATTTTCCCATGAGGAGGCAAGACTGCCTGAAGGTGGAGACACCAGGGAGCAGTTAGGGGGATGGCCTAGAGGCAGAGAAATCTTTGGGTTTGAAGCTAGGATGCCAATTTGGGTTACTAAAGCAATCACTGCTTACCTAGTTGCTGCATGAATTTACTCTAGAGACAAAAATCAATGAATTAGACTTACTTATAAATTTTAGCAATAGTTAAAGGTCACTAGCTTAATGCCCACTGCTTAACAAAATCTTTGTGCTTATATTTTACACCCCAAGCCGCCTTCCAAACATTCTTTGAGCCCTAAAGCATCTGTGGCTTAGGAATCCTTCAGCTGGAAATAGGATCTTCAGGTTTAAATGCTCAGAGAAATATCCAAAGGAACCTGGCTAAACAGCTTGCATTAGAAAAAGCTCATACAGATTCAAACAACCTTGTGGGAACAAACTGCACAGTTCAGTTTATATACTGTGTAAAAAGGAGGGCCACTGTCACTACTTAGAGTCCACCAAGTTGTTCCCGTTGCCTGCCTGTTCTTATATTAGAGCAAGAAGAGTAACCCAGGTCTTTCCTGATTTTGTAGGCACTCAATTGTATCAGTCTTCATTCTCTGTCCCATTGCTAGGGTCACCTCTTGTCCAGACTGGATCATAAACTATAAAATGACCACTAATCTTGAGTCTCTGACTATTGTAAGATACCGCAGTATAGTCTTGAAAATGGAGCAATATCAACATATTCCTAGCGAAAGAAAAAGACACATTTCTGAAAAGCACAGCTCTCATTTGTTAGTTCATTTCCAGAAAATAACAGTAGCTATATTTTTATCTCAAAATGACATCACATTTAGTCATTACTAAGGTACTTAGTACTTACTTATGTATCCCCTTTTGGTCATCAGTCAGTACTCAGAAATGCAAACAAATGTTACAGTAATTGCTTTTGGTCCAGACATTAGGAAACAAGTGATTGAGGATTATACTTACTTTAAAGAGGAGTCTCCAACACCAAGACATCCTCTCAGACTAAGTTGTCTCAGGAACCCACCACACCTTTTCGATATATTTTCCACAACACGACCCTTAAACCAAATAAAAGAAAGATTTTGTTGAGTTCTACGCTGACATAACATTCTAATCAAATTAAAAATGCTGGGAATTAAGACCAGACCCAGCTATACCCTACCAGAAACTGCATCTCTTTGAATTTCTTTTGCTACTTTAAGAAAAAACAGTAACCCGTTGAGAATCTCCACCCACACTGAGGTGCTGCTCGATTCAATCTTTAGTTCTCTCTTCCTTTTTTTCATTTGATCACACATGGCTCAACTTTTTGTCACAGCAGACCCTACACAACAAAACTACTAAAATGACCTTCAAGTTTTGTCAGATGTGTAGGGAACCCAAAGAACTGCCTCACAGGTGGAATGGGAGGCATGCCCATTCCTCAGGGATCACAGTCACAAGTACATCATGTAAGTTTAAATTGTTCACAAAGACTCACTTGGGCCAGTGTGTCACTACAGCCCTGGTTAAGTTCCTGTTTCACAGTTCCTGCTATAGGGCTGGCTGCGACTGAAAGGTGCTGAACACCTTGGTGGGAACATCAGCAACAGGACTAATACCTAACAGCACCTTGTATCTTTTTCTCTCCCTTTCTTTTCCGAAAGAAGAAATACATATAGAATTACAGGTCGGTAGAGTTTTCGTTGTTGTTGTTTTCCTCTCTACATGGGATGGTAACAATTTTACTGAAACAGTAAAATGTTTCTTACATTTTATTGTTCTTCTCTAATACATAAGTCCTGGCTATCGCTGTGTGAAAATACTTTCTTATCAGAGCTTGTTTCTTAGTCCATAAGTAACATCGTTTATCTTCTCTCTTAGAAGAACTTACACCAAAACAAACAAACTGAAAATTATGTATTTTTTAAATCTTTCTGATTAACCAGAATTATTTCTCAGCCAAGGCCAAATACCTTTAAGGATACCTGTAAGGATAAATTCTTCAATGAATAACATATAATGCAAGTTCAATTTCCATTGCAGAAAAAATCCAAATCCTAATGAATTATTCAAAGAAAACAGAAACAAATAATAAGTTTTCCCAAACCCATTTATTTCTTTAAGCATGTAAAAACCCCCAACAACAAGCATACCAAAGAAGACAACTTTAGTGCATTTAAATGCATTTAACTGTTTGAATATTTCTGTCACTCAAAAAACTAGTTCTTCAATTCACCTCAGCTTACAACTGGTTCCACATACCAAGAAATCCTAAGGCACATTTAACTTCAAGAAGATCTTCACACATCTTTGATAGAAAATAAACATTATTTTAATAGGTTTTGCCCTCCCTTCTCACTTTATTCTCTACCACATGAGGGCTTAAATATGGAAAATTTCACAGAACCTAATTTTTCATTATTCGATACTCTCAGATCAAGCACGAATCGAAAAATCACCAAACAGTGATCACCAACGTCCAACTGAGCAAAAAGTTGTCAAATACAATCAGCAGCATTACTGCCCTAAATCTATAGACAAAAAAATGTTACTAAAACAGCTGAAGAAAAAACAGAGTTCTTAGACATCAAACGTGAAACTGTATCTCATTTAAGAACTACTTTGTGTAATAAATGCTGGTTAAACACACTCGTAGGAACAAATTTAAGGGGTTTATATTACAAATGTACTTAAATATAATATACTGAACTAACTGAATTGCTCCAAACCACAATAACTTCTTATAGCAAAAGAGGATCATAACTTAATTTCATTCCTTCTCCTTTGAATCCCATGCTGCATCCTATATAGTATTTCAAATCCTATACAGTATTTCAAAGGGCAAGACCACTAGATAAAACATAAGATAAACACATCAAAAACTTAAAAATACAAAACTGTGTTTCTAAATACCAGAAAAATAATTCAAACATACAAAAGGCTTATCAACAGAAGGACCACAGACCTGTTGGGTTTTAATTTATTTCTTAGCAAATAAGAAAAACAAGCTTTTTTAAAGCGACTGAAAAGATGATATTAAAGCTCCAAGTCTTTTGGACACATCTAGATTGAGGCAGATGCCAAAATCTTTCTCCTACCTCTTCAAGATCCTCTTGTTTAACAAGAGTAGAGCAGTGGAGTTGGCAATAAAGTTTTAAAAGAGCGTTGAAAAACATTTACCGTCTATATTACTGTAAAGCTTTAGGTACAATTTGTACCACGGTTAGCAAATGAAACACATCTGGATTTTATTCACACAACTAAGCTAAAACATAAAATTCAGAAGCAAATCTATTATTATAGTCTAAATTTAATTTGCATCATCAAACAACAATAAACCAGTTCAGATTTAATTACAGAATTGTTGTTCCCCATGGATTTTTGTCTTCATTTTCAGATGTCATATTTTATTTTGTTATGTATATCTATGATAGCATTAATATAGACATGTTTTTCATAGGGAAGACAAGTCTGCTCTAATCCTTTCATTATATACTGTATCCACATGTACCTGCATTTCATGCAAGGTTCAAACCTTATAAAACAAGTGGTCATAAAATGTTAATCAAATACATATCAAATCAATACTAGGCAACTCAGTGGTAAGAAAAGTTCTTCAGCATTTTAGTGCTTCAATCTCCAAATCCCATAGCCAAGCGTCCAGAGAGCTTTCAGCACTAGATGGCCCCCTCACAGAGACTTGGGACCAACAACAACGTTATCTTGTAGATTGTAGAAGTGATTCTGAGGATCTCACTCCATGCAGAGGCACCGTTTACACCTTTCCCTTCTGGAAATGATGAGCAGGTTTGAATTTCTAGAGCTCTGTATGTATATGATATATGAAAATTATCTGATATATAGCTGGCAACCAAAATTGAAACTCATCAGAGGAAAAGAAAAAGGCAAATACAGAGTTCTTTTCCATTTGCTCCTTCACAGTATTATTATCTTGAACTTAGTCTTTAAAACGTGTGAACGCAAACAGAGTCTGCGGGATACTCAAAATGGGCTGTGCTCTTAAACATCTCCATAAGAATGAAAAATACCCAAAGACACTAACCTCTATATCCGTCTGAAAGTTAAAGAGGTCTATTCTTTGCCAATTGCTTCCATCCAGAGCTAAAACATTCCATGCCTACAGAAAACAAATACAATGTATTACCTCCACTGCCTGCTCCCTTCACTTTTCTCTCAGCAATTCAAATATTACAATCGAGACAATTTCAGGCAGCGTTTTTTAAAAAAAATTGTAGATACTAGTAGTCATACAATATCAGCTAGTTAAAAACAGAGTTTGTGGAAATTAATCTCAAATCCTCTAAATGGATTACACTTCAAAGGGTAACTTGTGGCTGTAAAACATGCAGGAAAGCAAGATATTAAATGTCAAGTACATACACAGAAAGATTTAACCCTCCATTTTTAAAAAAAGCTTTTGTACATTTGTCTAATAAGTCACTTTTGCTAGATATGTATGGAAAAAAGTAGCTGCAGATGACATTCCTTTCAATAAAACCACAGTTCCTCAACCTCACCAGTTACTATTCTGAGAAAACAGAGACCTTTCAGAAAACTGCTGACTTTCCACTATTAGGACCAGTCCTTTCCTTTACACGTGCTAATTTGTCCTTCACTGTCGCAGCAGTAGTTGTTCAAAGTAAAACAAAATAAAAAAGCCAGAGAAACACAAATATATGCAGAAAATTAGAAAAAAAAGAACACCACATCCAATGACAGGTAGTTTTGAGAGAAAAATACAATTTATTCAATCCCTTTGGTTTTCTTATGCAGTTTTGTTGGCTTTAGCTGAAATCTGATGTTACCTGACTCACAAAACTTACTGAAGTTAGAGGCCAGGGTGATACAGGTGTAGAAATGAAATAGTTACATGCTTAATTATACATTAAAACAAACAAGCAAACAAAAAACCAATTAAAACCAAAACCAAACCCAACTGTCATTAAGATAAGGAACGAAAGCATGAAATAAAGTTCATTCGTGTTGTATAATAATACAGTTCATTGTACACAGTTGATGTAGAAACAGAATATTATTCATTTTATTTCAAGAAAAAAAATGAAGACAAGCTAAACATAAAAGCTTACTTAGCATGCTTTCTCTAATATCTTGTGTGTGCCTTTTTCCCCTACTAGTAGTCCATCTACTTAACACCTTTTGTACTTGGCAAGAAAATGATGGATGTAGTTCTTAGACACATGGTGCACATTAACCAAACTACATGGAATTTTAAGCAGAAAATGCGCCTGAAAAATAGTGTTATACAGCCACATGCTTTATAAAAAGCAAATGCCATCATGCCAAACTGGATTTAATCCTTTCTCCAGATACTGAGCATACACAACTGGATATCTTTTCCATAGCCTTAAAGTCTTGTACATAGCAACTAAGCCCACATCTAAATGTAGAAGTGGGACCACTGTAATTTCTTTTCATGAACAAAGAGTCTGAGAATTTATTTTTTTTTAGGAAGCAGATTGCAATAAATCCCATTATTTGCATACAATTAAAAGAACAGCATCCCAAGGAACAACAAAAAAACCTCAACAGAAATACCTACCTTGGAAACTTGTGCACAGCGACACAAAGTAACTATGTCCAAGAAAGAAAATATTCTAGAAAGAAAGGAAAACAACAAAAATTAAAATGTTTAATTATAAATTCAAAATAACATATGAATTCACAGCTATGCCGTTCTACGGAAAGACACAAGTTACACAAGAAGCAAGTTAAATGCAATAAGTATTTTACCAAATTATTTTGGTTATTGAGACTTAAAGAATAATATCATAGTTATCATCTAAAGACAGGCAACACCAACATATTAGAACCCAGCAGATGCTGCTTCTGAAAAATCTGTTTTCTGTTCCCTCTCCATATTACCCAAACATGTATGCATGATTACAAAATATTTTTTCTTCTTTTTAATTCAGAGAAACTAGCTTATATGCCTTTAATTGTGCTACAATTAAAGAAATAACTCACACAAATACAGATGAAGATTTCAGAGGCTGGTGAAGAGTAATAATTAGAAAAGAACACATAAATAAATCCAAGTTCTAGAATCTAAGTACTAATACAAAGAACAATGACCCAAATTTCTAAAGGGGTTTCACAGTGACTACCAAGCCTAACACCTTCAGTATCTTTTTTTTTATTATTATTATTTACTCTACAAGAAACAACTACAGTTGAAAATTTAGCTTTACTATTCTGATCATGGAACCAACTCCTCAGGGCTGTCAACTCTCAGTAGTTTTCTGAAAGAAATTTTTCACTGTCAAAATGAATTTTGCTAAATTCCAGACAATGATATTGGTTCACAGGATGTTCTCAGCAAAAAAGAAATCATTAACCTAAGCATAAAATATAGATCCTATTCCAAAATAATTTTCTATTACAGAGAATGAAAGCTTTGAAATACATGAAAGACATTACTGTAATTCATTTATAAACTGCTACCTGCTTGCCAGTGAACTTTTTCAGTCATCAAAACAACTAACAGTAATAAGAACAATTTCATTTTACAGTGAGATATTAACACTGAGGAGCAAACAACTGGTAACAGATGCTGAATTTAATAATGTAAAATTCTGGTTACTGCTTTCCAAGTAAATATCTGAAGCTAGAGCTCAAAATGGATGCTTACATCTTAAGCACTGTGATTTTTAGCTGTGCTAAGAGTAAAAAAAAGTAATGAAAATACTTCTTAAACATAACCTTCTGGATATTTATTACAATCACTTCAGATAATAGTTTTCCAATATTTTGTTGACACATGAAAATTCTTTCTCTTTTTTACCACACAGTAAAACACTTTCTCAAAAACCTAAAAGCCAAGCAAACAGAAGGACAGATGTTCCTAGAAGCTATGAAACAACTTGTAAAACCCTGTCGATAACATTTATTTTTATAGCATCTATTTTGTCATTTGAACATCCTTTCTGAGACACTTTAAGAAACTTAGTAGCATTTAATGCACAAAATACACACTTAATGTGCTCAGAAAGACTGCTGGACAAATAAGCACTGAAAAGCGTTCTCTCTCTTTTAAGAGCAGCGTATCAATAATCCACCAGGAACCCTCTTCTGAAATCACCCTTCTCCCTTTCACCATGAGGGAAATGTCAGAAGATGAAGGAGATTATTCTAGAGAGCTGCAAAAGTTTCTTGGCTTGTAGAAGCTTCCTCATAGAACCACTGTACGAGTGGAATCTGAGGATCATCTCGGATTTACAGAAGGACAAAAGACAGTTTTCTGTGTTATTTGTAACAAAGAAAGAACTCATGACACAATACTCCTGCCTAAATGAAGAACATGGCATGCTTTAGAAGTGATGTATCTCAGAAATAAGAAACAACAGAAGAAACTGCAAAATGTTGAAGAAAGGGTATTTTATACACCCCCACTACTATGAGTTGTCTGGCAGTCTGTCTTCATGTTTCATTGTTTATTGCTGTTAAGAGATTAACATTGATGCATGATTTCTGTTAAAAATAAAAAGGTAAATTAAAACCAAATGCAGACCAGATGTATTTATTTCTGCTTCATTCTGTATGAAATGACTTTTCAAAACGTCAAAAACTGAAAGTGGTTATTCTATGTTAAGGGAAAAAATATTGCAGTAAGTGTAAACATTTGTGATGCTTCTAGGTTTGGTGGGGGTTTTTTGTTCCAAAGAAGAAACTTGCCTGCAAGGCAGCCCAAGCTGTCCCCATCAAAACAGACAACAACATTAGGATGCACTATAAGCAAGCAAAAGCACAATCATTGCCTTTCAATTAAATGGTATGATAGGCAAGAGATGCCAGTAAATACTTTTACAATTCGAAAGAGTCATCTTGCTAATGTGCTTGAAAACATTTTTTCCACACTTCTCTATTTCTTTACCCTCTATAATACAATCTTACATGTGCACCACTAACACACACTAGCTTGTCTCCTTGCAGTCCCACAGAATTACTAGCAAATACTTACCAGTCAGGAAAACTACCCAATAAGACACAAGACTCCAAGGTTTAAAATCATTTCAAGTCTTTAAAAGACTTCAAAGTCTTTAAGAGACTTTAAATACGATCAACAAACCGAGATGGAAACACTGACCTTGTCAGTCATCTGTCAGTGTCAGACACTGACACTGTCTAGCACTTAAGGTGAAAGAACATCAGCAGGCGCTTGTAATTTTAAAAAGTGGAAAAAACTACTGAGAGCAGCTGCTGGTTGTATAGCACTTCTGTCCTTATGACCAAAGCTACATAGACGGAAGCTAATGCAGCCAGCAGCAGCACTAAATTCCACTTCAGTCTTTGGCATGGATTAATACAAGGAAACTGGAAATTAGTTAATAGATCCACAGAAACATTTAGGATCATTTATTCTGGTTTCTAGTATCCCAGGCTATTCAATTAGTTATCCTGTATCGAGTTCAAGAAGGAAAATTCACTTACCAACAACTGGGGCTTTTGAAGACTTTTCATCCCTAGGCACACACTGCTCTGGACAAGTGCCTCATAGGTTTGGCCCTGGAGACCTTTCAACATTAACAATATCTGCAGAATGAGCCTCATGCCAAAGGCACAAAGGGTTGTACAAGCTCACGGTTCCTCAACTCCCTTATGGTAAACTTGTATTTGGCTAAAGCCTCACTTACACAAAAGGATCTATTCTTTATATGAAAGCCTTCAAGATGTGGAAAATCATCACCTTCTCTGGTAGTTTGTTCCACTGGTTAATCACTCTGTCAAAATGTTTCCCTTATTTCCAAGGTGAATGTCTGACTTCCAGCTCTATGCTGTTTTCTACTTTTCTTCACCAAATTAAAGAGTACTTTAGCAGTTAATATTTTCTCCTCATCGAGTTTAAAAGCCACTTATCATGTCATCTTTAATTCCTATTTTAACAATCTTTTACTTTAGTTCTTCAAATCTCCTTTTCACTGCACATTATTTTTTCAGTATGTTTTCAAAGCCACTTCAGGCCACTGTTACAGCCTTTTTGACACAGCATCAAAGAAGAATCTTACAGTATCTTGTCCATTTCATCATCACACCCTGTTCTGGAAGTACACAGTCCAGACCACAGCTCTTTTTGTAGCATTCTGTAGTCCAGTATATCCATCCATGCAAAATTATTCTGTAAAATTAACATGTTATTGCCATGTTGTTGCCATGTCTTCATATGGGTAAACCATTACATTTGTTTTTGTGTCACCTATAACTTAATCCCCTTAAAACACATTGATATACTGCACATATACTGTTAACTTTTAAAATAAAACCATCAAATGTTAAAAGTCAAATGCCTAAGTAGAAATGTGTAATTTTGGTTGGTAAAGCCAACCCATTGTTTAATCTCAAAGAATTATATTGTCCAAGGACTTATTTTCCACAAAACCACAACAACTGTCATATTCCTCTCTCTCAATTTTCCATCAAATAAATCTATGATGAATTTTCCAAAGCACACAGAATAGGAGGCTGAGATTTCTGGTCATCTCTCTCTTGCCTACAGGTGCTGCAGTCAGGATTCATATTCTTCTAGTATTCTGGAATTTTCTTGATACCCAAGATTCACCAAAACTCAGCGTAAGAGGGCCACAGACCTTCTAAGCAGAAGTGATGATCTAAGTGATGATTCCTATCATCCCATGTATTTCCACACGTGCTTCATTATTCCCTCTGCTATAAACAGACTGTCCAATGTCTTTCCAAACACAGAGATGGCTGAGTCCTAATATTTTGTTTCCCTCCCCAAAGAGGCACAGAGAGAAACACCTATTTCTCAAAACCCCAACACTGCACAGTGTACCTCCTACAGAGAGAGAAATCGAATTGTACAAGAGTCAAACTGCTTCTCTTTTGCCTTTGTAAGGCCTTTCCAAACTTGATCACAGGAGAAATAAGCTTTTGAACTAATGGCCTGGCAATTACTCATTTTAAGTATTTTGATACAATGCCATATGGATTGATAAAAAGTGGATAACAGAATGCATACAATAAGTACCACACACACATACTTGACTTCCTACAATTTTTGGCCCAAACCCCAAAATTTGGTATGACAGAAACACCTGGTAATTTATAAAAATCTTCAACAATAACATAAGTTATGGTTTTGTTTAATAAATGACTTATGAATGGAATTCCCTTTCAGAACTTCTGTTTTCCATGCTGTTTAAATTTATAGTGGTTTTGCATGCAAAGAATGGCAACAAATTTTATCAAAATGAAAACCAAAGTAACCAGGATGAGAAATGCCTCACCGAAGACACCAATCAAACAGATAATCTGCAAAGTCTCATAACCACCACAGAAGTCTTGTCATATTCAGTAAATACAAAACACATTTACAATTCACTACATGTGGAAGGTTTCTCTTCACCCTTTGTCCCCCATTTTACTAAACACGATACTGAGGTATGAGACATTTCACTGATAAGTGTAGTCCAGCAGTATGTACAAACACTAGAATAAAAATATGCAGACTAGAAACCACACAGATAAGCTAAATAATTCATATCCATAATCCATAAAAGTAGAATCTTTAATGAATAATAAATTACATCAATAAATTCATATCTATGTGATTACATTAACAATGCTAATGTTGGTTTAC